CCCCGCCCCGCGCCGCCCCCCGCCCCCCCCCCCGGGGGGGGGGGCCGGGGGGCCCCCCCCCCCCCCCCAAGACGACGAAACCCTCCCAACGTCCTTGCATCGGAACCGCCAGCTTCCCTCGCCCAACGCCCAGCCATCGCCCAGCCATCTTTGGATCCGGACCAAATGTCTAGACAAGGCTGAAAATCCCAATGGCGATGTTGCCGAGAGGGGACGTGCTCATCAGACGGTTCGAAATATGGTGTTGTTGTATCGAACCTCCCAGGTTAACAGCCGGGTCCCACTCAATTATTCGGCGCATTTGTTGGCCTGGGACAATGGCTCGGTGTCGGGCGTTTAGCCCCATCACAGCCAACCACCATATCGCAAGGTCTGCAGTAAGGTCTGCAGGGCCTTCCCTGCCCCATGGGATAGGCATGTACTCAACGTCATATTTGATACCGCATTCGGCGAGGGAAAAGCGACAAGCAACCAGCACCTTGTCGGTCTGGATATATCCATACCGTGTATCGCGTTTGCAGCAGAACATAGCAAGTTGTCGTAAGGGGCATAGCGTATTGGCTGTGGGGTCGTCCACGAGGTTGTCTGGACACCATTTGGTACTTGGCTTACATAGCCCAATGACAAGGATGATGGGTGGGGACTCGTCCAGGTAAATCGAGTGGTCGGGCCAGGATAAACCACCGTTGTTGGATCGCACCGGGTGCTCCCTGCAGCCCTGTTTCAGAGTCGCTCCAGCGTAGGCCCCGAGCCTGTCCTTTCCTTCCACCAAGGCGTCTTGAAGGACTTTGATGTTGCGGTCAACCAAGTCCTGAAAGTCGCGCTGCGTTCTGAGCTCCAGTTCGCCTTCGTCAAGCTGCTCGGTCAGAGATGGCGGTGAAAGGGATCCCATATCCCTGTTTAGGATGTGTCCATAAGCATCCTCGATGTTCTTCTGAGTGAAGTCTGTCCATCGGCTGATCGTTCCCAATTCCGGCCAATCCGGGTTGACACTGGTGGTACCTCGGTTGATAGCGCACGTAAGAGTCGGAGTTTTTCTGTTCAAAAATCCGCGGAGCGGATTTGAGGGAGGATCCATCGTTGCTCAACAGGGGCCAGAGCCGTATGGCAAGAAAAGCGAGGCCGGGGCGGATGGGAAGTGGAAGTGAACCAAGTATGCGACTTGACAAGCAGGGGAAGGTTAGCGAACTTCCAGTAGTAAGGGATTTGTTTGGGACCGAGGAGGTATTGACTTACCTAGATGCAGAACAAGTGGCTGAAGAACCGAGGGCCTCTTGGTAGTAAGGGACGGAGTTGTTGCAGATGAGAAGGGTGTGGGCGGCTTAAGAGTTGTGGTGCAAGATGATGGCAATCCGCCGGGATAGAAATACTCCAAGACTTGGCCCAGGTTGCTCCCAGCACTTTCCATCCGTTCGAAGAAGGCCTGAGGCCTAGGTTGGAAGAAATTCAAAGTCAGCAGGGCAACGGAAGTGCTAACCTTTGTTCATCGCATATCGCATTGTGTGACACACAGACTCCCAGCGCTAGGCACGTTCCATCTCATGTGTTGAATCTTCTTTAAGCACCACTGCTTCCCATGGCTGTCAGGCCTGTCAATCCTATCTCGACGTGGAACCTTGGCGCCGTTATTTGTTTTTGATGTTCCAGGTTAGAGAGACAAACAGCAGCTAGCCGTGCTGCTGGCTTGGATAACTGGATAGCAAACGTTGGCCCTTTGTACCGGGTTCTTCTAGGCAACTCTAGAGAGGGTCACCACAAACTTGGGCTCTTTGATCATGACTACCTAGGTTGTATGATCCAACACCCTGGACCCACCGTTTCTTGTTCCCTGATTCAAGAAGGAGATGTGACCAGACCAGCTGTGGATGAAGGCTGCAACTGACTCTTGAGTTAATCGATCTACTCTTATTTTGGCGCTGGCAAGGGTGTTTCTAGGGTGGCGCTGGAGAGGGCGCGTTTGCTTGCAGCGCAATGAAAGAAACTCAGGTAGACGCAGGCGACAATCCACCATCTCGCCCAGTGGGGCATCAGGCTTGAATGCGAATGCGAGAAGGAGGCGTGAGAAAGAGTCCCCTTTTGTAGACAAACAAAGTCCTCCATGGGTGAGAATGGGGTTTAGAAGCTGAAACCATATCATTAACATCATAATAATGAGGCAGTAGAAGGAAGCAGCCGCAACTTAAACCCTGGAAAATGCTTTCGTGTCGCAGAGAAAACGACCTGGTAAATATCCATTCCAGCTAAGTATTCTTAGTAGGTCTTGATCCGGTGCATGCTGGCTTTCTCGCTCCGCCCCTGGTACATTAATTTGCTAGCAAGTGTTTTTCAGTAATTGTAATACGAACTTGACCGTTTGTATAAGGACATGTCTCTTACTCACCCAGGAAATAAAATGGATGGCGCATCAACATCGCATTGAAATGGGATCCCCAGTCCCAACTATCAGTGTTCTTGGAGATCTGGACCCGAGCCGGGGGCTGCTGTGTGGACCATGGTGTCGCTCGAACAGGGACATGGGCCGCGGCCATGGAGCCCGGGTGCGAGACTGGCAGACGCAGCTTTATTGCTGCAGAATAGAATGCGCAACTAATCTGTTCGCTCAGATGATGGCTCGTGTGACGGTTCTTGAGAGCTGGGATTCGACGGCTAATATGTCAACTCGTACATTTTCTTATCGTGGGCGGGGATTTCTCCGCGTTTCGGTAGACCGGGGACCGAGAAACTCGAAGCTCGCTGCATAGTGCAATATCCAAATAATATGGCAGTTCTCGGTGGAAGTGCTTGCTTTAGCCGCCGCGATCTTGGCGGGTTGAAGTCTGGACAAGTAGTGCTATTATATCTTACTTGACTGTGCTGCGTACTACTACTCCAACTCCTTACTTACCCGTTTTCTTCAAGGCTCCTGGTTATGTGAATGTGAATGGCCATGCTCACTACGCCTGGAAGAAGGATGCATCTCGCATGGTTCATGCTTCTATGGCTTCCTCTTGTCGCTGCCACCTCGGGCCGCAATCTCCCCCGCCAATACGATGATCCGTCGGGATCGGACATTGATTGCAAACAGCTCTCGCTCACAGAGCCCCGCTGGTATATCTACGACCCGAGATACACGCTGCACAATTACTCGACCGGGGGCACGCACGGAGATGCTGGGTTTGGGGCGTACAATCTCGCAACAAACGAGACATTCGATTGCCTCGTCACCGACATCAATCTCACCGTGACTGGCAACGACATCCAGTGGTACAATTGCAGCATCCCCAATGCGCAATTCAGCTTCGACTTGACTGCCCAAGTCTTGGGGCTCAGAGAAAGTTGGACCTGCGATAACGCTCCAACGCAAGTGCCCTCCTATTGTCATCTCCTGTTCCCAGCTCCGGGCATCTCCAGTGCGCGAACCCCAACAAGCGTGTATTAACGCTGCTGCCCAGGATCAAATTCTCCGGCAATGGAACTGCTGCCATACCCATGGCGCTAGGCTGCGGGACCGACACGGATTACTTCTGTCTATATGGAAACACGGAGATCAGGGCGCAGCTGTTTTCGCCCCTGAACATCAATCCATACGAGCCATGGACGCCCAGGATACCATACGAGTATCCGGAGCACTGCGTGGAGCGATCCTATTACCCGACGTGGGAAATCAACGACCTCGTTTACGACCACGCAGCCGAGGAACCATCCCTTTCCTTCAACCTGACGAACTTGTCAAATGGGAACAAGCTCCCATGCGCCACAAGTGCCAACGAGTCGGAGACGCGAGGCTCTTTCCACAAGGCTGTTTGGCTTGACTGCGGTCCTGAAGAAAGTTCTGGGGAGATTGCCGAAGGCGGTGTTTCGGGCACCAAGATCCTATTCGACAGGGACTATTCGCTGCTCGGTGTTCAGCAGACGTGGAGATGCCTTGACAACGACACGGACGAGACCCATATCGTTTCACCGTAAGTCCACCTTCCCCCCCCTTCCGGCCACGGGCTCGCAGGAATCCGGGGCTCCCGAGGAACGGAATTCGCACAGTTCTCATCAATTACATTGCGTGCCACCTGCATAACCCCCGATGTACTTGCTAAAGGTCATCTCACCTTTCTAGAAGCATCTTCAGCGGACTCGGATATGCTGTTTCGGGACTAAATTGCACAAATGCCGCGCCATACGACGGTTCAATAGACAGCAGTCCTGCGAAGTACACGTGCAGCCTTCCGGCGACAAACGTGCCCGGCTACCGGTCGGATGACGTGCCCAAGATCATCCCGCACACGTCCTACACGCACAGCTGCACGATCCACTCGATGAACAACACATCCATGGTCCTGAAAGAGTACCACATCGAGTCGCTCGAGGACGACCAGGCTCAGGGCTCCTTCACCATCTTCAACCCCGGGCCCGGCGACGAGTACGGAATCAGCAACATCCCCGTTCTGGCCGACGGCGCCTGGCACGAATGCGGCGGCGGGGCCCACTCCTTGCCATGGCAGCTGCTGTCCTGCCAGTACCTGTACGATCGCACCACCAACAAGATTGGCTTCCAGTTGCAGTGGAACTGCGATGACAGGGACCCCTACCACGCGTATGTTGCCGCCCCGCAAACTCCGGCCTCTTCCCCTTCCTCCGCGCCACCCGCATAACTAACTAGCTGATGCAATGTACAGTCTCGTCTTCAGCGCGACGGCGGCCGGAGAGTTCCCCGAGGACCTGTGCAAGACGACGACCCAGGCCGACTCGACCGTCACGTCGTGTTCGCTCCCGGCGAATTCCACGGGTGGGCAGCTCGAGATCTCGGCTCTCAACTGGACGACGACGGGGAGCCCGATGGATCGAGGCCCTTTGCTGCCTTGGGTTTAGAATCCGAGCTCGGCTGCCGGTAGTGGTGGGCGTGTGGGAAATGGAAGACGCCCGTTAATGACACGATTATTCGTCTTCTGTGAGCGTGCAAAGTAGAGACGCGGACAGACTAGACGAACTACAATCACGTTCGCTACATGAGCCTTGCCCTGGGGCCTTGACTCATTGACAGATTGGCCAGCTGATATGCCGAATGAAAGAACTCGAGCCAATAGTATGGTAAAGGGAGGATCCAATTATTGTCTCCCCAAAGAATGACATGGCAACGTCAAGACGCCATCTAATTACGGCACGGCAGAAAACGGATGGGCCTATTCAACGGGCGTGCATTTCCCCCTTTTCTCTCGCCAGTTAACCAAATAAACAATCAAGCGAAGGATTGATTCCGGGAATGCCAATGAAACTCTGTCGCAGAATCCAAATCCCAACAGAAATGCTGCTACAGCGGCCCCATCGCATACTCCAAACCCATACGTGCATACCAATGTTGGCCAATAACCCAATCAAGTGCTAAGGCACTTGCAGTGGCTGCTATAACCAGGGCCGCAGCTCTCGGCGCTCTTCTTCCAGATGCAGTTATTCTCCGTGGCGTGTATATCACAGGGGACCTCGACGAGCTCGAGAGGTAGGCACGACTGCTTGTCCAGCGTGTTGGATGTTCCAAAGTCCTGGGTATAGAATCATGTGAACATGGCATTCTTGAATCTATGATAGCAGAGATTTTACAGCAGCTGGTCAGATACTAAACAACGTGTATCGACTAATCCTAAGCAGTGTGATCGACGGTATTCCTCCTGCCTCCATGGGTGGGCACCCCTAGACACCAGAGCCGTCCATACTTTGTAGTTGCAAGCAGCTAGCGAACCTTGGATATACTCATGATAGGATCAGCTGGCCGGTCACTTGATGCCAGTGATGCAATAATAAATCATTACATTCCGATTTTTTGGAGACCCCGATGTTAATAAACGTTCCGAGCGAGGAGGTCACTGTGCGAAAGCGTTCCGCCATGCCTTCGCAAGGGTAGGGGGGAATATGTGGCACAAGGGGCTAGAGAGTAATTAGTGGCGGAAAGTAGGGGAAATTCATTTTTGATGAGAACTACAGGCAGTGCACAGCAGTGTAGGAGAAGGAGGAATGCAAAGCGCCGAGTAGACAAGCCTTGATTATCAGGTTTCAAGGAAAATGGGACTATAGTTATACCGCCGACCGATGTCTATCCCCGGACAATATATGGCGCCAGTTGAAAACAAACGGAGACCTTGCACACTCGACCCTTTAATCTGTTGATTGAGTTGGGAAAGCCAAGCATCTCGGACTAGTTGATGACTAATCATGAGCTAAAAATGATGAGTTGGTTAATCAGGAAAGATAACGGCCCTTCCCGGCAACCTACCTATCGGGTAGCATGCCAGAGTGGTTAATGGGTGAGATTTGAATCTACTCTTCTCTATCTCATGGCTTCGGCCTCGCAGGTTCGAACCCTGCTGCTATCGCTACAATTTTTATTTTTTTATTTTTTTCACCAAATATTTCCACCGTCGTTTTTCACCCTCAATCCAGAACAATGCATTCATTCTTTCCACATTGCTTCGGCATTACATTGTGCAGATAACATAATTTGAGATCGAGGTTCCTTAGCCTTTGTGAAATACTCTCCTTGCTGCCTCCTTCCTATATAGATACACCCGTCCAGATTGCAATATTAAATGCATCATTAAAGGCATGCATCACTCATTCCCGGTCTGCAAACCTCCCTTGCGGCCCGCTTCTCTAGCTCTCTCGCTGCCCGGCCGCCCTTGGACGGCAGGTGGCGAGAGTATAATTAGAGTTCGTTGAATATGTGATGGCTACTCCGCCAACCTCGCCATCTCTAGATCCCGCCAAAGCTGCTGCACCCCGTCGACATTCTCGTGTTCACGACCACCATACTTGATCCACTCTTTCTCGCACATATCGGCGTACTTGGTGGCCTTCTCAAGGTCCCTGGCCTCCATGTAGGCCCGGGCGATGACTTCGTAGTACACGACCAGCTGCGGCCACAGCGACTCCTGGTCAAGGAGCTTCATTAACTCGTCGGCGAGATTGGCAACCTTCTTGCCGCTGATGCCCTCTTCCTGGGCGAGGATGCCGTGGATGTCGTGGATCCTGTCCCTGCGCTCGTCCGAGAGCTTCACTTCCTTCCGCGACGAGGTGCAGAGGGGGCATTTGCACTCAAATCCCCAGTCGCCCAGGACATTCTTGCGTCCTTCGTAAGTCAGGCCGAGAGGGGTGTCTGTGCAGTGAGTAACCATGCATCAAGCCCAGTGCGTTCAAAACCGATCAGGGGCAAGGGGCCTTACAGCTGAAGGTGATTTCCTCCCCACGGTTAATGTCTCTAAATGCAATCATTTCCATTGCCAGAGTGTGCTCGTTAAATCTCCAGAAAGCGCTAGAAAAACAGGTCAGGTTCTGGTGTTCTGTGGAGGTAGTGGCTCCTCTTACTTTGGCCGGCACCCATGATTTGTCCTCTAATACCAGACCCATTGTTAGTATAATCGGTGAATGCAGGCTACACGGTCTCATCGCCTCTCAACCTACCGATGCTTCGGGGATCAACGCCATGTGCATGACGCCCTCTATCTCGACGCCAAAGATATTCGTCTGCAGAATATCCTGGATGATCCCTCCTCCGGTGCTGCGAGCCAGCGACAGGATCTCCTCCCGCTGTTCCTCAGGCAACTGGCCGATGGCGGGGGCCAGCACGTCCCGGATCTGTTCCGGGCTCAGCACGTCCATGAAGTCCATCTGGGCAAGGATGGCCGGGAAGCCGACCAGGATGGTGTCCCATTGCCGGATCCGGTGCTTCGCCACGGAGCCCAGTCCCCGGTTCGGCAGCTCCTTGACCTCGAACAGAGCCTCGTCGGCCAGGGGCGAGAGGTAGCTGGCCGGGTGGTCCCTGATCGCGGGCGGCACGACCGAGTCGTCCAGCCCGACCGACAAGCTCGAGGCCAGCTCGGGCGTGGTGATGAGGCTGATCCCGTGCCCGCCCCGGAAGGGAACGGACGTGAAGACGCAGTACTTGACCGCGTCATTGGACCGTCCCGCGGGGCGGTTCCTCGCCTGGAACTCGACGCAGGTCGGCGGGTAGCTCCACGGCGCCCAGCTGGCCCCGTCCTCCACCTCGTCGTCGTCGATGGGGAGGGGACAGCTGCTGTTGTGGAGCGGGAATAAGGGGCCTCGGGAACTCCATGCGCATACTTCTGTACCCAGATCCAATGGCCCTGCTGATAGTTGACCGTTACTTCCGGCGAACAGTGCTGCCAGCACCCACAGAGGGCGCCACACTCTATCGGAAAGACGAGCCATGTGTTTCATCCGTCACAATTCCCTGCCTAGGCGCCGATGTTTAATGGTTCTTGAAAGGGCCGAGGGATAGAGGGCTGGCGATTGTCGGCGCCATCGCACGCGGCGTCACAGGTTCAGGTCACAGTCGCCGCGGTGCTGAGAACCACCTGTCCTCATGGGGCTCTTAAAGCGTTGTAATATTCAGATCGCCTGCCTAAATAGCCCTGACGAATGACATTTGGGGAGTTCTCCGGCCCCATATTCCAAAGATCTGGAAATATAATTATTAGCCTGATATGACCGTTGGCGCTGGGTGGCCATTAACGCCACTCAAGGCAAAAGCTGCTTCCCAATAGTTGTACCGGCTTGGTTTTGTGGCTCTTATGAGGTGGACACGACTGGGAAAAAGGGTTGGATGATGCGAGAAATTATTAACTGGTGTATAGGACTCTAGTCTAAAGGCAAGTCGTCTCACTGAGCTGCGCGAAAGGCAATTCACGCTCCTCCCTTGGAACTTGACTGAGATTCAGCTGATTAAAGCCGTAATTCTGGGTGCTTGGTCGCGATTCTGCGCAGCGCTGGCTTCTAAAAAACCTTGACAAGATTACTTGGCGGTTTGACAATACTAGACTTTTGATATTATCATGCATCACGAATGACACGATCCTGGTAATTGCAGCAAGATAGGGTCTCGATAAAAAAGGAACGACTTTCTGATCTTTAGGGATGATAGGTGTGTGAATTCAAGGTTTGTGGCTTTTAGAAGAAAACTGGTTGAGCAACACGTCACTCACCACCAATTTCCATGGCTCTTGAGCTAATGACTGAACTGAGCTGTGGCAAGATTTACCTATCAGCCATCCGAGTAAGCTGATATCGCGAAGAGCGCCAGTCCTGAGAGCTGGTGACCGACCAGACGCCTTTCAGGACCGCATTTCCGCCACCAAACTCCCCGAGTTCCCCATTCCCCAGACATGGAGCAGCCAAGGTGTCAGATTAAGCAATAGGAAATTGCTTCGTTCCGAGATGCAGAGGGCCTGGCCCACAGGTGGTGTTACATCAACAGTAGCAAGGCAACGCTGGCCACTTCGTAGCGCGGGTAATCAATCCATCCGCTTGCCACGGAATAGGGTTTTGGCCATTCGTATTTTCCTGGATCGAGCAGCGCCAGGAATCTGGGGGAAACCAGGAAAGGGAACGGACGGGGAACTCCATTGGATACCACCCTCTTGGCGCGGCCAAATATAGAAATTGATGATGTTACGGTATGTCGATTCGAGACAACGGAGGTCACTTTTCCTTCAACGAACATTCCACTCGTGTCCCCCGAGACTGCAGATCAAAAAAAAATGGGCAAATGTAAATTAAGGGAACGGCGGTGAAGCAGCAGATAAGTATATATGAGTGTGCTGTCAACCACATTAGAAACCCCCCTTAAACCTCTAACAGCAGTAACACTCCCGATCCCACCAAGAAACAAGAAGAACAAAACCACACCCAGAAGCGAAAATGCAGCTCCCCACCATCGCCACAATCCTCCTCCTCGGAACCTTCGGCGCCCTCGCCGCCCCTTCATCCGGCAACAAGGCCTGCCACCCCCGCTGCGCCGAGGGCGAGGTCTGCGTCGCCGGCACCTGCGTCAAGCCGACCTTTTGCGGCGGGTTCGCAGGGATCCAGTGCGAGGACGGGAAGAAGTGCGTCGACGACCCGAGGGACGGGTGCGACCCGCTCCACGGCGGGGCCGACTGTGGTGGGATCTGTGTCTGAACGGATAGGGGGCAGGGGGTTGGATTGAGGGGTTGGTTGGGCGAGGTTAGCATGGGCTTCCTTGATTTTGAGAAGCCGGACGTTGTGCTGATGACTCTTTTGGATGACAATACTTCAGTTCGTGTCAATGCGGGCAGGTATTTACGTGGCCCAAGGACATGTACAGATGTCAGAACGATCATTACATCAACCCCGTTCGCATTCATACTCCTGCCACCCGAAGGAGGCTCAGTGATGCTTGATTTGTTCCAGCCGTAGCATAATTATTAAACCTTGCAAACTCAGATCGCCTCTCACCAGCCAGCCCGAGTCCTCTGCGCTGGGCTCAACCATGACACTCTTTCTCCTCTGAGACCCGGATCCACTCGTCGACCGCCGCGTCAAGATCCATTATCTCGGTGGCTTCAGGCTCGATTTTCTTTTCGCGAGGCTTCCGTCTGTATCCTTTAGTTCCCGATCCCTTTCGGGAGCTCCTTCCCGGTTTGAATCGCGGCCTGTATCTCAATGGTCGCTGCATAGACTGCTCCTGCTCAGACGGACCTTTATCCAGAGTGAAGATCACGGCGTCGTCGTCGTCGTCGTCGTCGTCGTCGTCATCATCATCATCATCCTCATCGCCATCCCTACTCTCTGTAGCCGAGTCTCTGGTGATGTCCTCCCCCTCCGTATCCCCACCTGCGCCGTACACGCGCAAGATTCCGGTCTCCTCCTCAGCACTTCCCGGCAGCACGGTTTGTGCATCGTTGCCGGAGATATGTGGAAGCTTGTGGTATTCCGGAGTCTGGGCAGCGCTGGGGATGGCATCACCTGCATCCTTCCTGCCAAGAAAGTTATGTCGAGCAAAGACGCAGGCTTTGACCACCTTGAACAGGACCTCGACCTTTAGGGCAGCAATGGCAGGTGCTTTGAAAATATCCCCGAGCCACCCGCCCGAGAGGAGCTCGTTGTGATACACCAGTCGAACCTCGGCGAGAAACTCGAGGACTCCGTTCTCGCCCCCGGCGAGCCGGTCCTTCCCCTCAAGCATCAAGTTGAAGATGCGCGCCAGAGCCGATTCGACCGTCTTGACCACCCTCTTCATAGCCCGCGGCCGCAGCGTTCCGAGGCTGCCCGCGAAGTTCTCCATCTCGCCGCGGGTCAGGAAGTCAACGGGCCGGAAGACGAAGCCGTCGAGTCTGGCAAAGAGGGAGGAGCGGAGGATCTCGATGCGCGCGTGGTACTTTTCCTGGTCGAAGTTGGCTGGCGGTGGAAGGGGGGCGAGATAGTGAGGGTCCTGCATGGCGAGCATTGCGCGCAGCGCGCTGATGCGTTGCTGACGGGCCAGCTTTCGAGACATTCTTTTCTCTTCTCGCCGCTGGAGCCGCTGCGGGTCATCCCCTTTCTTGGCCTTTTTACCGCGACTCATTGCGGTGATCTCGGGCTTTTCCACCGTGTACGGGTTGTCTTCGGAAATGGTAGGTAGCTGTGGAAGACGATGTGGCCGGTGACAAGAAGATGCAGGCGCGGTCTGAAACTGGTGGTCGGACAAGTCACTCCGCGCGAGAGCGGTGAATGTTGCCTGGGAGACATTCACTGCTGATAGCCCTTTTGTGAGCGGAATGCAAGAGAAACGTGACGGAGCAGGCAGCTGCCTCGGCATTGGTGATAGGTACAGCTTCAGGATTGGCATTCCCTCTCTATCTGGACAAGACTACAAGCTTCTAGACCTCTCAGGTATTTGCCGACGCATTGGTATGTTTCTTGCTGTCCTATTTAGAAAGCAAAAGCAACGTAACTGAAATATCAACACACACGCGTACACATACAAGCACCTCTAGACTTCCGTCATATCAGTTAATTACATGCCTGTCTACACCAGCACAAGCGTCTGTCGGTCACCAGGAGTGGCAAGCCGCTTCTTGAACTCCCGTGATACAGGCATTGGTAATGCTAGATAAACCCATCCTATATAAAAACGACCACCGGGAACACCTAGGATAGTTGCAGCCACTTGTCCAACACTGCCTGAGTACCGTCAGCCCAGATGTAGTATTCGCAGTTTTAGTAGATCTGATTGAACACTTAGAGAGTCAGAAGATGCTGTTTCAGACTTTGCCTCTGCTGGGTCCTCTCCTCCGTTCGCTCCATCGTTCTCGCTATCAATCCCACTCTCGGAGCTGTCGTCGGTGCTTCCCTCCTGACTTTCGGAGTCACTGTCGGTGCCAGAATTGTCATCAGTCTTTGTAACTCCCTTGTCCATGTCGCTCTCCGATGCCTCGAGGTCCACTGTCGATACTTTCTGTCGTGAACCTGGACGGAGGACCACCTGTACGTCTCGATGAGGGGCAACTCCCTGACCGTCTTCCAAATGCCCCGATTCCGGCACGTCAAGGCGGCGAAGAAAGACATGTACTCGAGGAAGGCCGTGTTCAAGAACATTAAAGAAGTGTTCCTCCCCGCCTCGGCGGCTCACAGAAGAGTGCATTTCATCCCTACCCCGCAAAAGGCGTCACCGGACACCGCCGGATCGAAGTCGAAAAAGAAGGCCAAGTCAGAGGAAAAACCAAACTTCGTCGCGACCGTCATCTTGGGCCCTAGGAACCCGGAGAAGGAAAAGGGCATGATACAGGAATTGCTGGGAGAACTGGCGTGCGGCGTCCCGCCACAAGGGGGTATACTTGACGGCAACACAGTTTGGTGGGTGGGAGGCGGCCGAGCCAAAGACGATGGACATCAAGATGTTGAAGAGGGCTGAGAGTAACAGACAATGCATCCAGATACTGTGGCAATGCCAGCGAGGAGCCGAACTTCCTCTACATCAAAGCTTTGCGCTCCGTTTGAGGAGCATCTAGTCGGCTAACAAGTCGCTAGATAGAGCGTCAAAGCAAGGGCAGTCCGTCCTTCTCCTCAACCTTTTTGTTACGACATTGAGAGAAGTTGGCATGTTTAGCTCCAAGGCTCTGGCATATTAAGAATGATCCGAGTAGGCAACTAGTCTCTAGCGCTTAGGCGGCGGGTCTTAATTGATCAACTTAGACAAGGTGGCTGGTATGCATGGTTCCGGCTGGGCTGTAAGCTAGAACTAGATCACAAGTAAACTAGGTAAATAAAACTTCACTGCCTCACACACCGACTCCCGGGAAACCTTGAATCGCCCCATAGTACCTTACGAATACGCCCCACGTTTCGACCAGGACATGGGCCCATCCACAGTCAGTGTCGCGGACCCCAAGAAGCCTTCATTTGGACTGAGAGCCGCCTGTCGCTTGTCGCTCCCCACGTTAACGGAGCGCACCAAAACCGGTGTCGTTTATCAGGGAAACACGGGCATTGGCGCTTGCTTGCCAAGGACTGGCTCCTGGGGCAACCGGATCTTATAGTGGCCCTCGTCATCGCTCTCCTCCTTGTAGAGATGCAACCGGAGGCGTTGAAGCGCTGGAATGAAGCCAATGATGGCAATTACAAGCTGCGAGACGCTGGACGTAGGCACGATTAGCGATTCTTCTTGCATATGACACTAGTGCTCGGGTGACCTCACGCAATGATGAACAAGGAGACGATGATGGTATCCCGGTTGCCCCAGTAAAACAACATGTGTGAACGCAGCACTACGGGCGCCAACACAAAAAATGTCACCGCCCAGGCTAGGTCAACAAGCGGTTGGCCCCAACGACGCCTCGAGTGTCCCGGATTGTCTCCATCGCCACTCTCGCTGCTCCCAAAGCAGATGCACACAAAAGCACCAAAGTCGAGTCTAAATCCCTTGCGATGGCTATTTCCGGGACGAAGGCAGTGTGAGGCTGTCGCGATGATGGTCCAGCCGAACAGTAGCCAGGTGAAGACGATGAAAACCACGCAGCTTTTGTCGGCGTCGGCCATCATAAAAGCGGCAGCTACAATGCTCCACCCCAGGACCCAGGGGCGGAAGTACGTTGAGAGGGGGAAAGTGAAGAGAAGTTTTCCCATGGGCTCGTCGGCGGTGAGGGTTCCGTCCATGGAGATGCGGTGGGGTGATCCTTCGGGGAGGAGATGGCGGATCTCGGCTTGTTGTGATGAGGCCATCGCGATGGGTTCACCTGTTCCGGTCGAACTGCGGTGGTGGTGGTAGTGTTGAACGAGGCAAGTGATGGGAGTCTCTGGCGATGGGAGAAATAAATAGTGGAATGACAGGCTCTCTTTTTTTTCTCGCTCGATCGAGGGCATGGGGTCCATATACATTATACACCACCATAAGCGGCGGGGGCTGTGGCGGAGCACCATTTACGGCACAGCATTTCATTCCTTCGCTAATAGCGCTGCTGCCCCGCCAGGATCGCGGACGCGAGTCTGCGTGCGTTGTCTGCACAACCAAAACACCCTAGAGGTAGCCAAGCTTCAGCCCATCAGGTGTTTTCCCTAGTCTGGGAATCCCTGGCCAATGGCAGGGGCCCGAATATGGTTGCCTAACGCTGCAGGGGGTATCAATTGTGCTGCACACGTCTTCATGCCAACCCCCCGCATCCTACTGCCGGGTCGACGAATAAGGACAGACATTTCAACGACGTTAACAAACTTCCAACTTGATACAAGCACTGTATCTTTTTCCCCTATGCAAGCCTCTTAACATCAGGAGCCTGGCTGTCAGCGATAGATCCCGGGGTGCGGAGGCAACAGATCCATCAGTGATATAGCATGAAAGGTTGTGTTGGAAAGCGTATAAGTGGACCGAGGAAACATTTGGGGGAGGCTGGGGGGGGGGGGGTGGGTTGGGTTCTGAAAAACACGACACAGCGGCATGGTAGGTAGACGTACTTCCGTAATAGAAAACACAAATTACACGCGAAGCCGATCGCCGGCCAGCTTGTTAACTCCAGCCATCTTCATTCAGATCACGTCGCATCATTACACAGAGTTCCCAACCACTGCTCACACGCCAGCTACAATGGCGCTCGGATCACTTCTCATATTTGCTTCAGTCTTCCTGACAATGTCGGTGGAGTCCTCTTCAAGAATAGTCCTCCTCCGCGTGACAGCCGCACTGTACGGCCCATTTTATGAATTCGGCAACCAGACATTCATGTTGCTCGTCGACACCGGAAAATTTTGCTGGATTCCAGGTAGCCTCATAATAGTACCTAGGCTGACACTAGCTCATGGCATGGGGGACATGCGTTGCAGGAGACCGCCCTGAAGACACTCGTTGCTCATGTAACTGCTGCAGCTGCTGCATGTTCGAGCATATCGAACTCCCGGGCCCAGTATGCATATCCGGAGGACGAGGCTCTAAGAGCGGCATTCGCATGTCGTCGAACATAGTGGATTGTAGGTCGAGTTGGTAAAATACCTGTTCCAGCATGCTCATGTCCCTAGCCTCGCTGCTTTTGGCGCAGGCGTTGTTGTCCCGTTGGCCTTTTCCCTTCTCGTTATTCAATATCGTAACTCTGCTCCAAAGGTGCTGTAATGGCGTACACCGAAGATCCCGATCCTACTAATCCGAAACCCCAATGCTGTGCAAGAGACTAGCTGTAAGAGTGAGGGCATGTAGAAATACCTAGGTAGGTAAGGGCTGTCGTCGTTGTATCATGAAGAGAAGGGCCGGCCCGAGCGAAGTGGGTCCGAGGCCGGAGTTGAGCCGTTTATAAACACGTGCTCCCGCTCCCGAGTCCGTTGCAATAGCCCCGCTCTTAAGGGGAGCTAATTTAAGCTTACTTCGAAAGCTCGAACGGATCCATAATAATTTCGCGATCGCGTTCCTCTCTTCCAATTCCGCACCTTCATCCCACTTCCTCGATCCCAGTGCATGCGGCCCCTAATGACCTCACCAGGACAATATCATCCTCAATGGCAAGCCAAACCAGCGTAGCCAGCAGCCAACCGGACCCGCGCCACCTCCGACTCATTGCCGCCTCGGCTCAAGCCAACCAGGCACGCATCCGCGAGACCCTAGCCGAGGATTCATCATGGTCCTCGCACATCGATCGTGACGCGCTGCGCCAATCGCTGCAGAAGCTCGCAATCCGCGGCAATGTGAAGCTCGTGCGCCTGCTCCTCGAACACGGCGCCGAGGTGAACATCAGCCGAGATGGCGAGATCCCCGCCCTCTTCAAGGCCGCCGAGGGCGGCCACACCCCCGTGGTGACCGAGCTGCTTGCGCACGGGGCGGATCCGAACTGGCGCAACCGGAACGGGCAGACTGCGCTATTCGCGGCGTGCATGCGGGGCCGCGATGCTGTTGTCAGGGCGCTGTTAGACGCCGGGGCTAGCGTCGACGTGCGCGATAAGGAGGGCCGCACCGCGCTGCTGTTCTTGGCCTCGGAGAAGTCCGAGAAGCCCAAGACCGATACCCTGAGGATGCTCCTCGAGAAGGACGCAGACATTGAGGCGCGGGACTCGATTGGCCGGACACCCCTGCTGTGGGCCGCCACGAATGGCAACGTCCGGCTCGTTGCGGCACTTCTGAGTGGGGAGTTGGGGAAGAAGGCCGATATTTCAGCCTCCAACAACCGTGGCCGCAATGCGCTCCACCTCGCGGCCGAGGCCAATCACGAGGAGATGGTCAAGCTTCTGCTGGACCAAGGTGCCGACCCCCGCGCTGCCAGTGACGGTGGCTGGACTGCTCTTCATAACGCAGCCCAGAGTGGCCACACTGGTGCTGTTGCTCTGTTGCTTGCAGCCGATGCGAACGTGAATGCCGAGCTCTCTAACGGAATGACGCCTCTGCACTGGGCGGCATTCAACGGACACGAGGGGGTGGTAGAGCTCATACTAAACAAGCCTGAGACCAATATTACCATCAAGGATGGTTTCGACCGGACTCCAATGCTCTGCGCCGCCGAAAGGCATCACAAGAACATTGTCCAGCTCCTTTCACCCGCTCGTGCTGCAAATCGATTGAACCCCGTGGCGCAATGCGCATGCAAGGAGTTTGAGGCCACCGTCGTCGACTTCGGCAGCTTCCGAGATGGAAAGAAACAGCTGGTGTTCAAGCACTCAGTACACGAACTTCTGTATGGGTGGAATAGTCAGGAGGATCGGCCCACTATTCCGACTTTGACTAAGAACATTAAGTATCAGCCAGCCTTCAGGTGGATTCATCTCCCCGCCAATAATGTAATTCATTACACCCAAACCATCAATTGGTCCATCTTACTGACTTGTTGCATAGATCGCTTGGGTCGAGGTAAACAGCAACCCGTCCGGTCTCCCGGGCCTTTCCTTTCAGAAGCTGACGGAGAACCAGACCCTACTAGCGAAATCATTTGTTGAAGGAGGGCATCGTGACATGGAAGCCTTCAAAGCATTGGAGAAGAGCTTCGGGCAGGAGCATCGAGGCCCGTTGGCCCACGCTCACTTCATGAGAACATTCTGCCAGCGCATTTCTGCCCCCCAGGCCTCGGCCTCTGACGAGGACAAGCTATTGGTGTCGCTGTCCGAAGAACCTTCGGATGTTAGCTCTCAAGTGAGCCACGTCGATAGCGCATCAACTCCCAAGACGCCCTGCAAAGAGGACAATGGCACGCCAAAGTCTGAAGCTAAAAAGAAAGGCAAGTCAGAGCAGATTTCCGAGAGGCATCCGAAGAGGCCAAAACGAACAAGTGGGCCTCCTGGCAACCGCCCTGGCACGAAAGATAGCAAGGCGGCTGTCAAGCTACCTGGCCAGCTCTCATGGGAGGGGTCTAAGTCAGGGTCGGCACATGGGAAGATCGTCCTTTTCGTAAGTCCCACAGCCACCGCCGCCAATTGCGCCCCCCGAGTCCCGAGAAACTGACCAAAGTAGATGCCATTTCTGCATTACGAGACGGACGAGCGACGTAAGAGACTCAGCAATTCGATCCGAAGTGCGCAAGACGGGCGAGATCTGCCAGAGCAACCATCGCGTGATCAGATGCTCGTCCATGCGTATTTGAACAACATTCCCCCCTTGCACCCGAGAAGAACCCTCGATCAATTCTTCTACCACGGTATCGACACTTCGGCACGCGACACAGACCAAGTCGTGTACAGGTATTGCAAGAGGCATCACCTCGAGCCGAAGGTCTTCATGGTGGACCAGCTGTGGCTCTGGATATTAGGCAAGGGTAACGCTCCCCCTTTTCCTTCACCTTGCAACCGACCGAATACATGGACAAGACAACTAAACCAATACCCGCCCTGGTAGACCTTGTCATTACTTGTTTCCCCCAACGCTGGGACCAGCCAAAGCCAGACCCATTGAACGTTCTCGACGGCATCATCGAAGAGACAAACGCCAAAACCCGCCCTCCCGTACAATCCGTATACGACCTGGCAATGCTAATCACCAGTCGCTGTTCCGGCATGTTCGACCGCCACCGTCTCGACGACCAAGACTACCAGTTCCTAGACATGTTCGAGAGCTCCATCGGTCTCATGACTAACCGTGAAAGCCAGCTGTTCGACCGCTTTAACCGAGCTTCTAGGCTGTCAGCCAAGTGGCTCCAGCGCCACCGGCGCCACCGAGGCGGGCAAGCCGGCAGGTCCGGTTCACCCTCGCCAGGGCCCAGTAGCGCGAGCACGTCTCGAGATCCCGTCTTCCCCGACGCGCTGCTCGACATCGACGTGGAGACGTCGCTCCTCTCCGAGATCAAGGACATCCGCGACGAGCTGAACATCATCGCCGTTATCCTCGACTCGCAGATGCTGATCCTGGGCGAGTTCGAGGCGCACGTGACGGACGAGCTGCGGGGCGACGGCAGCCGGCGGGCGACGGACGGCATCGTCGGCGAGATCCGGCGGCGGTCCCGCGAGCAGCGGCGGCTCCTCGACGTGCACCGCAAGGACGTCGACCGCATGGACCGCCAGGCCGAGAGCATCTATACCAGCCTGACGCACCTGCTCGACCTCAAGCAGAAGCACTCCAACGCGCTCGAGGCCCGCTTCGCCCGCGACCAGGCCGTCATCGCGGCCCGCCAGGGCCAGACCATCATGGTGTTCACCATCGTCACCATCATCTTCCTGCCCATGTCCTTCATCGCCGCCTTCTTCGCCATCAACTTCGAGGACTGGGACGGCATCCTGACCATGGCTTACGTCTCAAAGTACCTCTTCGGCATCGGCCTCGGCATCTCCATCCCGCTCATCGCCATGGCATTCACCGTGTCCGACATCTTCGACGGCGCCAGCACCGCCCTCTCGTCCGCCGGCCACTGGTTCCGCCTCCGCCGCGCCGGACCAAGGCAGCAGCCGCACTCGCCGCCGCTGCCGCCGACCACCAGCGACGGCTGGGACGACGACGACAACATGCCCGGCCAGAAGATGGACACCCACCCGTCGAGGCCGCGGCCGTCGCTGGCAGACACGGTGTCCGGGTGGAGGAGGAGCAGGGGCTCCGACTGGCCGCCGCCGCCGCCGCCGTCCAGGCTGGTCCCATCGACCGGGGGCCAGCGCAAGTTCAGCGTCGGGAGCGGCAATGCTGTTTCGTGGGCGCGGCCGAGCTTCGATCATAGGAGGAGGGAGAGGATCAGCGAGGACCTGGAGAGGGGGAGGGGGGATGTGTCGCTTTCGAGGGCTTATTGATTACGTAACTAATGGGGAAGCACAAGAGTATTGGATAGGTAGGTACTGTAGGTGTTTAGTGGCGAGGAGTACACCAATGGGGGTTGGTCATTTCTACTGATCTGATTGCCATTCATGTCGAAGGAAACATCTAGACACGAGACATTGAGCAACGATGTGATGAGAGCGCAATAATCTTTTGTAATAGCTATCCTTTCCCTCTGAGACTGGTTGGGATGTCGAGGGGCGTGTTGCTGGTCGGGGCTCATATTGGGGTGTAGCAAGGGTCCCGTCTGGTGTGTCTGTAAATCCGACCGTTGCTTGAGGCGTCACGCCATGCCATAACTTTTTCTCATGGTCCTCCAAAACACCAATGTCAACTTAGTTGGGGCACTCTTCCTCCACCCCAACAATGGCGCCCAACAGGGATGAGGACAAGTAGCTGCGTGAATGTCAGGAGATACACATGCCAGTACCACCTTTCGACAGATACGTCTACCTGTTATCTTCCCATGTTGTCAAGAAGGCTTTAGCGCCGCAAGAGAGGGGGTTATGATGGCTACATCCCCGACTTTGCCACTCTAACAGCGCATGACGAGAACGAGCTAGAGGCTCTTAAGCTGGTTCGAGAGTACACCAACATTCCTGTACCACAGCTCCTGCACCAAGGAAGAGGGTGAGAATCCCTCGCACTCCACAGGAGATTAATAAGTGAACACGGACACTCGCTAATACGACTACCCAAGGTTCAACGTCTTTGAACGCATCTACGGGGTGATGGTCAACGAGAAGCCGATCTGGGACCGCGTGAGCCCGCGCCAACGGGAAGCGATCCGGCTCCAGGTCCAGGGGTACATCTAGCAGCTGTCGACTATCCCGAACCCGACCGGCGAAGTCAGATCTCTTGTCCCGTCTGGCGAAGTCTTTCACCGGCAGCTCCCCAACAGAGGGCCATTCAAGTCAACCGAGGAATTCGTGGCGGCTTATTCGGACCATGACGTCCTTGGTGCTATTCCGCTTGATAGCAAGCCGGTGTTCTCACATATCGACTGGGACCTCTCGAACCTGATTTTGCATCCGAATTTAGATAGCGTGGCTGGGGTGATCGATTGGGAAAGAGCGTGCTTTTTCCCTGAGGGTGGTCGAAGTATTCACGGGATGTGCCACCAGTGGGAGGGTTGGGAGAAGCTGTTTGATGGCTTGGATTTTCCCCGTATATAAGATGGAAGATCCAATTTCCTCTTCACCTCTGATCGTCAGACTTGGTGCGTCATCGCTGGTCTCGACGAGCCTTGCTCACTAGGCTGTTCTATGGTAGGCTCGCATGATTTCGGGGGCAAGTCATCTCTCCGAATACCCCATCCGCCCGACCACCCGAACCACCCTTCCTCCCTCGGACCTCGGGCGAAACACACAAGCAAGCCGAGGCCGATAAATGCAACTGTTACAAACAGGTCAGTCCCAAAAATGCATCAAACGTGTCCCAACGACGGGGCACGGGGGCGTTCGTCACTCACTGCTGCAGCTCCCGCTGTACACCCACCCGCCCTCGGCGTAGAGCCTATTACCCACCGACGTCCCCGTGAGCTGGCCCAGGAAGGAGGCGACCATGTACGCCGTGTTGACCCTGTTCCTGGCCCTCGGCAGGATGCCGTAGATGGCGGCGCGGTTGGCGATCTGCGCGCACTGGCCGCCGAGATCGATGGCGACGGCCTGCACGACGGGGCCCGCAACGCTCCGGGTCCCGACGAAGGTGCCGACGGCGACGCCGGCGAGCTCGGCCGCCAGGCCGACCACGGCCGAGAAGAGCGGCACCACCCGGTCGACGAGGAGCCGGCTGTAGATGGGCGCGGAGCAGATCACGGCGGCGCCGATCAGGCCGAAGAGGCCGATGGCGGCGGGCGAGTAGTTGTATGGTGGTGACGAGAGGAGGAACGAGAGAGTGGTCCAGTATGAGGTGAAGACGGCGCTGATGAGGAAGGAGAGCAAGGAGGCCTGGACCAGGAGGGGCTCGGTGAATAGGATGTGCACTATGCTCCAGAGCATGCGGAAGTAGTTCAGGCCCTCCGGGTTCTTGGAGGGATAGTCTGGGAGGAAGACATAGAGGAGGGCAAGGGTGAGGTACTGTGCCCCCAGGCCGACCCAGTAGATGTTGCGCCAGTCGGTGTAGTTTGCCACGATGCCGGATAGCAACCGGGCGATCAGCATGCCGAGGGCCAAACCCGAGACCACTATCGACAAGGAGCTGGCCCTCCGGTGCGGTGGGGCGAGATCCCCGACGAGGGGGAGCATCAGTTGGGGAGTCACTGTGGTCATGCCGCAGATGAATGAGAGCGCCGCAAACACCTCGAAGGAGGCTGTCAGACAGAGACCCAGCCACTAATTATGCTCGGTCAGAATCCTGCTGTTGCTCCTTCTACTCCTTTCCGCCAGGCACGAAGACTCGGTGTAGTTACTACTTACCAGCGTCGCGGTGAAGGCAATCAGCCCGAGGATGAAAGGCCGGCGGAGGAAGATGTCTCCCAACGGACAGATGAGCAGGAGGCCAGCAGCATATCCTGCCTGCATCAGCGTAGCAATGGATGCGGCCTTCTCGAAGGTGACATCAAAAGTGTCTGCTATCCTGTTCAAGATGGCTTGATTGTAATACAGATTGGCCACAGTGAAGGTGGTGGCCTATTTCGAAGTCAGATGCTGAGCAGGGGAGAACAAGACGAGGACCCGGCGACGATTACCTACAAAGGAGAAAAGAAGATTGAGAGACAAGGAGAACTTGGGAGGATCATCGGGGTCGTACCGGGCGGGCTTCGGCTTCCATTCCCATGTCTTCCGAAACAAGCTCAGTCTCGGTGGTTGTGGTTCATTGGCCTCAGCACTCGCCTCATCCTCGTTGGATGGAGTGATATCGGCATTCTTTTCATCCTCTGACGACTTTCCAGGAGAATTAATCTCCTTGCAGGCCATCGCTTTAGTATAATATTTGCCATTGGCCTACAGTTGATGTAGAGGAGCGACGACATTAAAGAATGATCGCATCTTCCTCGGCCAGGAGTCTCCAATAATTAAACTCCGATCAGCGACCTCGGGGCAGGCGGAGCCTGACTACAACCCCTTCCCCTATCCACCACGACCGAAAAGAATTGGCTCCTCCAATGCGGGATGGGAGTTGAGTAGAATATAGACAATAAAAATAAAACAGCCATGCTACCTGAAACGAAAGGTAATTCGCAGTGTAGCCTTTCCAGACCCAGGAAGTTCTGTTCGACGGCCATGACGCCATAACTGTTGTCGGCGTTAACGCGGCTGATTAATAATCATCCCAAGTCAGGCAGCGCACGGACTGTTTTCTTGCTCCAAAAATAACAATATCTCAAAACTCTTGCCCAATCTTCCCCAGCCAACCAAACGCGTCGTCCTGGAGATCATGTGTGGCATTCATGCAGTGATATCCAACGTTGCGCCAGCTCCACTCTCGCCAGCCATCAAAGAGGCTCTGTGCAATCGCGGCCCAGATTATTTTGGTCAACATGCGACGCGTATTCCCAACGGTGATGACTCCGGCGCCACATTCCTGAGGTTCACCTCGACCGTCCTCTCGCTCCGCGGGGACCGAGTCGCCGCGCAGCCCTTTATACATCCACAGACCGGATCGGTCCTATGCTGGAATGGCGAGGCATGGAAGATCGGTGGGTGTGCCATTCAAGGGAATGACGGACAGGCCATCTTCGGTTTGCTCTCCGAGGCGAGTGCCTCAGTGACGGGCGAGGAAGCCATCATCGATGTGCTGCGATCTATCCAAGGGCCGTTTGCCTTTGTTTACCTCGATAAAGTTGCCGGAAAGGTTTACTACGGCAGAGACCGTCTCGGTCGCCGGTCGCTGCTCGCATCCGGAAGCGATGATGGCGGTTCCCTGGTCCTTTCCAGTATCGCTGACACCTGTGACGCGAGCTGGAATGAAGTTGAGGCCGACGGCGTATATGTTCTCAATCTTGTCAAAAATTGCCCAGATACTGGTGCCCTTTCACATTTATCCTTGTCCCCTTCTCGGTATGAGTGGATGGTGAAAGGCGGCGAAGATTTAGTGAGTTGCCTGACAGCCGCAAATTTTGGACACGAGGTGAGCTGTCTGTCAAACTTACGTGAAACTTACTCGTCTAGGTCTTGAGCATTGGCAAGTTCAACATGAGCCTCCCGACCGATAGCACGCTACTCCTAGCATCATCGAATCCTGTCAAGATGCTGAGGGAACAGCTAATCAACGCACTTCGCCTTCGTATTCTCAACATTCCACTCCCACCATCCGCTTCAACGTCGACTTCCTCTCCCCCTGACACACGGATAGCAATCCTATTCTCGGGTGGGTTAGATTGCACGGTGCTTGCCAGGCTCTGCCACGACCTTTTGCCGGAGGGCCAAGCCGTGGACCTTCTCAACGTTGCGTTTGAGAACCCGCGTGTCGCCGGCCAACTGCGGAAACAAGCCAACGGTGCTGAAGCAGACGTGTATGAATCATGCCCGGATAGAGCCACCGGGCGTAAGGCTTTTGCCGAACTCCGAGAAGTCTGTCCGGGGCGAAAGTTCCGCTTCATCACAGTAGGCTTTTCATCACGGTGGAATGTTGATGGTATATAAGGCTAACGCGCCGCTGCAGATCAATGTGCCGTATACGGAGACGTCTTCCCACCGTGCACAGGTGATCTCTTTGATGCATCCGCACAACACCGAGATGGACCTCTCCATTGCATACGCCCTGCACTTCGCAGCGCGCGGCCAAGGTTTGTGCTACGAGCAGTCCGATCCGGCCTCGCCATCAGTACTCTACTGCGCGCCTGCTAGGGTTCTGCTGTCGGGGCTGGGTGCCGATGAGCTCTTTGGCGGATACGTACGACATGCCACTGCATTCTCACGCCAGGGCTACAGAGGTCTCGTTGACGAGTTGAAGCTCGATGTCAGCCGCCTGGGGAAGCGGAACCTTGGGCGGGATGACCGAGTCATGGCGCATTGGGGCAAGGAGGTGAGGTTTCCATACCTGGACGAAGAAGTGGTCAAGTGGGCCGTCGAGCGGCCGGCATGGGAGAAGTGCGACTTTGACAACCCGGAGGAAGTGTCGGGAGTTGAGCCTGGAAAGCGCGTCTTGCGGTTACTGGCTCAGGAGCTAGGGTTGAAACAGGTCGCCGTGGAAAAGAAGAGAGCGGTGCGTGTCCTCGTCATCTGCCTACGATTGTCGTGGGGGATTGTCCTGAGCTAACTGACATCCTGCAGATCCAGTTCGGGTCCAGGACAGCAAAGATGGAGAGTGGCCGAGTCAAAGGGACCGCACTTGTATCATGAAGCTATTTCGATGCAGTTGACCGTTCCGACGATGGCATGGGGAACTCACGGGGCTGCTGCGACACAAATCTGGCTATGATGACACAACAGATACTTCTGAATCGCGGGTTTCGACAGGCTACGGCCTGATGCTGGCGACTGTGTAGTTTTTGCACTTGTGCAGAAACCCTTTGCCTCATCGCTGGCCTGTCTGGCTCGTCCCAAAGCGACATTGATGGACAAAAGACAAGTCTGAGCCAGGCGAACAGGGAACAGGGTAAATGGGTTGCGCAGAAGATCAACCAGCAGTCCCTATTTTTAGACTTGAGATAGAGTGTGCCGGCAGTCGTAGGCAGGGGTGGTCATAGCGCACCAAGTCGAACAGCCGCGAAGCCAAGTGGCGGGATTGGGCGGACAACGGGACCGGCAGACGATCCGGGCCCTAGTGGTTTTAGAGACGTCTTAGCCCTGTCAGATATAGCAGCCGGCATAATTAAGCATCATACATCTTATCTAGGTTGGACCGGGTTGGACCATGGTTTCTGTTCGAAACCGGGGCCTTCTATCGCAGCCTCTGGATCCATTGAACAAACAATGACATGGCTCTCCCCCCCCCTCGCTGATATTATATTTAGCTCCATGTTACCCCGCCTGCGTCACCCTGAGAAGCATGCGCCCAAGAGATATATCTGTCCGACCCTTCGCAGCGCATTCTGCGACACTCATCAAAAACCCGCGGCCAAGCAGCACACGTGGGGCTATCACTGACACTACTCTGACGAGGCTCGGCTCTGCCCGCGCGGCTAACGCACAAGGGGAAACCCAGATTGGAACGAACCTCGACGTGAAACACAACAAAACGACGACTTGAAGCCGAGGCCAAACTAACCCCCCCAACCCCCGCCGATGGCGCCAACACGCTCCGACTGGGCGGCTACTATTACTACTACGTCGCAGCAGCAGCAGCAGGCGCACCGCCCCGCAACCCCGGAGGCGTACCACCCCGCAACCCCGGAGGCGTACCACGGCGAAGAGTCGTCAGGCAGGAGGAGGAACGGCGACGGCGGCGGCCCGGCCCGGACGGCGTTGCTGCGGGCCCTGAACGGGTCGGCCCACGCTGCCTCGTGCGCCGTCTTGTTGGCGATCATGGGCGAGTTCCTGGCGCGGACCCGGGGGATGGTGGATGCGGGGCAGCAGGTTGGGTCGTTGGTGTAAGTTCAGCTCCCCCCCTTTTTCTTTTTTTTTTTTTCCTTTTCTGTACTTGTCCATGGCCGGGGTTAAGAACGAAGCCGATATCCTTCTTTCGTCTCTCGTCCGTTGGGCTAACCCATCTTCTTGGCGCCCCACCCGCCCGCAGTCCACTCGCCGCCACCACGATAGCTCTCCTCTGCGCCGACGTCGCGCTCGACGTCTCGGCCGTGGCGGCGCGGTCGCGCGGCTGCTGGCCCGCCTGGGCGCTCGTGCCGCGCCTGGCCTGCGGCGTCGGCTACCTCGCCGTCTTCATGGCCTACGTCGGGCTGGGCCGCGTGTTCCCAGACGGGTACACGTTCTGGGGCGTCGAGGAGGGGTTCTGCGGGCCCTTTGTGTACCTCCTGCTCTGGCTGATCGGGTATGTTGGGTTCTTGGTTGTTGGTATCGGGACGGTTTCTAGGTTTTTTTCTGGGGGGGTGTGCTGACCATGATGCGTTGGCTCGTCGGAAACAGGGTCTGGAATCTCCTCCACACGGCACTGCACCGGCACGAGCTTGGTAACGGGTTCCGGACGTACGTGACTGGCCTTCGGGCATGGTCCAGGGCCGATCCCGGCCATAGCCACGATACTTCGAGCGCCCCTCGGCGATCTCTAAATTCGGTATGGAGACGATTGAGTGGTAGCTGGGCGAGGAGGAGAGCAAACGATATAGGAGAGGGGGATATCGAGAGGAATATCGAGGGGAACCAGTCACGTGGGCCCCGGCCGAATAGCACAAACACCATCTCTCTTGTCGAGAGACACGATGACCACAAGGCGGAGAGCTTGACGACAACCTCGAGCGGACCGAGTACAGCCGAAGTCACGGAGATTGAGCAGGGGGATTCGTCGCCTATTCAGAATGGCGAAGTAAGGTTATGACCTTGGCAGGAACCTGGTGTTTCGTTTGATATATTGGATACCCCCGTTAAGTTACATTATTGGATACCATATTCTAAAGATACTCATCTTTATGCCCCTCGCCATCTCTAAGATGATGGAATGTGCACTACCATGCCCTCTCGAAGCTGCGATGGGGACAGTTCGATTGTCATGTGAGAGCCCGGCTCTGCCTTAAGTTGCTACTTCGTCCTCTCAACAACACCATTCCACGGAGCAAGTGGCTAATCACTACCACGAGGTATCTCGTGGCCGATGTTATTGCCCTCTCCCTCTTCCATACCTGCATGGAAATATCCTCCTAGATCATGTGCCTGTGCAACAGGTATGCCCTCCAGATGATACTCTTGTGTCAAGTAGCAACTGAGAAAGAGTCTCTCCATGCTGTCCTCTGGATGTCCTCTCGCAGCAACAATCGGCGAATAGGTAGGATGAGATGGCGAGCCCCTCCTGCTTCATTTGCCCGGGCGCAGCCCTCCACAACCTCCAGACAACAGTTCACAACTTTATGCCGTTCTCTTCAATCTTCCTCCCATTCTCGTCGAAAATCATGACGCTAATCGCAGCGTAGTCATCGTCATCGACGAGGTGTTCTTCATCCTCATCCTCCGGTGGCAGTAGGCTGTATAGACCCTTTCCTGGCTTCGGCCAAGGTGGAGCCAGCGGGTCCATGTCCTCGTCGTAGCTTTGTTGCGACTCGTCTACTTCCATCGGCTGCGGAGCACCCTTCTGGCCTCTGTGTCCCCCGGTCGCCGCGGCCTTCCCCTTGCCCGGCGGCGACCGGCCACCGCTCACGGACGCCTTGCCCGCGCGGCCCGGCTGTCCCTCCGGAGAACCCTCCGAGGGCGCCTCCGAGGCCGGGAAGACAGGCAGGTCTGGGTGCGCCTCTAGGCTGTCCATCAGCAGCCCGACCAGTTCCTGCTGCGACAGAGTCGACAGATACGCCCTCTTCTGCTGCGGGGTCCGGCCCGCCCAGCTCTCGCGGCCCCCCGCGGCGGCGGCCCCCGTCCTCGGCTTCTTGGCGAAATGCCGGTCCCGCCTGGACTGGCAGGACGCGCAGAACCAGGCACGGCTGACATCGCGAATAACTTCGTCGTCAATCCATGGATCGTGGCACATCTGATGCCAGCCATCATTGCAGCCGTCGCAGAAGACCATCTGGTTGCTCGCCGGGCTGTGCATGCGGGTGCACCTCTTGCACAACGTCTGCTCCGCCGTACGTGTCTTGCTGGCTTGGTGGTGAGGTTGTGCGCGTTTCCGGGTCCCCGACGCCTCTGCCGCTGCGGCGGGGTTGTACGTCAAGGGCTTCTGGACCTGACGGCCGGACTTGGTCATAGTCAAGATCGGTGGCGGCGTCGGGCCCTTCTTCCTGAGGGCCTCTTCCTCGCCTGACATGTCGGGAGGACTGGAGAGGCTGCTCGTGTCACCGCCGTCTTCCATCCTGCTTGGTCCCTGCTTGCGTTTCGTTCCCGCTTTCGGCCCTGTGGCGGTCTTTGGAGACTTGGGCTTTCCGCCTGGGATTGCAGTCTTCGCCAGCACTGATTTTGCGCTGGTGCTCTTTCTACTTGCTGACAGTCCACTAGAGACCCTTCTAATAGCGCTCATGCCAGCTCCCTTCGGGGTTCTGAGAGACGGTGCGGACGAAGGTGTTGCCGCAGCAGCAGCAGAGTGTGGGTTAGGCGGTGGGGTTGGGGCTGGCATTTCCATGGTCATAGAAGTGGTTGTACTCATTCCCATTACCAATCGTCTCTTCACATCCTCATAAGTCGGAGGCTTGATCTCTGGAGTCTGGTCCATGGACAAGGATGACAAAGCAGAACCGACACTGCTACCAGAACCAAGGCTGCTAGGCTCACCCTTCATGCGTTCTAGTATCATCCGGGTTGCGGCAGTGAACTGGGGGATGTATGGTGGCCGAGTTGGAGCCAAAGCCGGTAGACTTGCCTGGGCATCTGTTTTGGAAGAACTGGATGCAGCCGGGACAGGAGTCGTGATAAGCTTCGACCCAGGCGACTGTGGCGCCATTGGAGACTTTTTTGCAGGCCACATTGTCCAAATTGAGTTTTGGGACAATGTGCTAGACTCAGGATGTCCTCCTAAGAATGCCATACATCCCAGATCGAGGAAGGCTGGCCGGTCCCACGACAATGGATTCTTCTTCGAAGAGAGTCCAACGTGGCGTCATTCAGTTGGTTGCTTGTAGAGTCAATTGAGACCACACCATTGCTATACAAGAGCTGTTTGAAGAGATAGTGTCCAAGAAAGCAATATCAAATGCAGGAGGACAGACATTTCAATCGAGTAAGATGAAAGCAACTCATGCCCACCTGGGAGATCAGTCGAGGGTGTAGTGCCACTGACAATCACGTGCTTGTCACGTGTTTTTCCCATTATCAAAGAATTTTGATCATCTACCTTCCTACCCAACTCCCTAGATAGGTATCTTGCGTAGGTTCTTCTATTTGATCTAGGTTCCATCCTGCCTACCTCGATTCTGGTCGGCTATGTGCTGCCCAGCTACCTATCTTACCACCCCTCTATCCTTGAGTTCCCGTATGCGACCCTCATCCATTCCAAGATGCTCCCGTAACACCTCATCTGTATGCTGACCCAAGGTGGGAGGAGGACTGCGCACCCGCGGCTTTGCCTCCGAGTATTTTACTGGAGAATTGACCAGCTTCATAGGCCCGCACTGGTCATGTTCGACTTCTACTACCATGTTTCTTGCCTTTGTGTGCTCATGGGTGAGTGTCGCCAGTACGTCGTTGACCGCCGCATATGGCATGCCTCTCCCCTCGAACACGTCCAGCCACTCCTGTGTCGTCTTGGTTTTTGTGACTTTTTCGATCTCGGCCTCCAGCTTGTCCCGGTTCGCCACACGCTGGGCGTTGATCTTGAACTTTGGGTTCTCCTTCCACTCCGGACGGCCCAAGCCATCACAGAGTATGCCGAAGAGGCGATCATTGCCGCCCCCTAGCAGGATGTCGCCGTCCTTGGTCTCAAATGACTTGTATGGGACGATTGAGGCTATCCCTGTAAGTGTATATGTCCCCCGTTGGAAGGATACAGTTGCACTTACGATGTGCCGTGCCCCACCGCCCGGTGTCCTTCTCTCCGCTGATCAGACAGCTGCTGGCTATGTTAGCCAGCGTCGCAGTCTGGCAGTCGCTCAACGAGGCGTCAATGTGTTGACCCCTGCCCGTCTTCGCCCTTGCCAGGAGTGCAGCCATGATGCTGTTGCTGGTGTAGAGGCCTGTCGTAAGATCTGTCACGGCGACTCCAACCTTGACAGGAGGTCCATCCCGGCTCCCAGTGATATGCATCAGCCCAAACTCAGCCTCGACCATGACGTCGTAGCCGGCACGCTGCGAGTAGGGGCCAGTCTGGCCATAGCCGGTGATCGAGGCGTAGATGAGGCGAGGGTTGATCTTGTGGAGCGTCTCGAAGTCCAGGCCATACTTCTTCAAGGATCCCGGGATATAGTTCTCCACGAAAATATCGCTGTTTGCTGCGAGCTGGTGCAATATCTCAACTCCGGCTGGGTCCTGAAAGGAGAGGGCTAGAGATTTCTTGTTCCGATTCACCTGGGAAGCCGCGTTAGGCCCATCCTGTTCATCGGGGAGGAATTAGATGGTCGAAGAGCCTACCCCAAGAAAGTAGGCTGACTCCCCAGGGCCAGTGTGGTCCGAGCCTGGCTTGTATTGGGCATACGGAGGGCCCCAGGCCCTGGTGTCATCACCCCGGATCGGATGTTCTATCTTGATGACCTCGGCACTGGGATCGTGTAAGTACACAAGTAGAAACAAGCCGAGAGAATTGGGAGTTTACTTACCCAAGATCACCGAGTATCTGAGTGCAGTAAGGCTAGAGAGAAGAAGAAGAAGAAGAAAAAGAGCGCGTGTCAGTGGGCAGAAGTAATGTGAACATGGCAGAGCGATTACATACCCCAGCAAGAACTCGGGTCATGTCAAGGACTCGGTAGCCATCCAGAGGCAACGACGAATCAACCGAGGCACTGCCCGCCCATCTTCTACCCCCGCGGCAGTGGCTTCCCAGCTGGAGATGCCGCAGATGGCTCTGACATACTCGCAACGAGTTACCAGTAGCCCTACTTAGAATTTTGTCCATTGTGTGAAAATACCCTCCCCGGCTGATAATGAGAAGAAAGGAAACAATTCCTAGTTGCAACTAGCAGCGACCACCAGGAAATGCTGGTAGGAGCGTCATTCGCGGGGTCAACCAACCCCACCAGAGCACCATCAAAGCCCACCAAGGCCCCTGTCTGTACAGCAAGGATTTGACATTTCGAGCACCGAAATATGTTGTTGCTGGCGCATGTACAGGTAACTGAAGCTAAAAGTATTTACCTATCCTTGGGCTCTGAAAATTGTCACAAGGGCAAAGGCCTCAATGCTACTTTGCTTGAACATGCACGCCGCTCTATCTCAAGGGCTTAAAGGATAATAATTAAGAATTGATGCAAAAAGTCAAAGGCCGACAAACCAATGTTTCAAGCGCAGAAAAGAACAAAAGGTACTGCATCCATGGCGGCATAAAGAGAAGCAAAAAAGAAAAGTAATAGCACGGATCCGTTTCGATCGGATGACCTCCGGGTTATGAGCCCGGCGCGCTTCCACTGCGCCACCGTGCTTGTCCTTGAAAAAATTCGCTCTATTTTGCGCCGTAAAGCCTTCCAAGCTTGGGCCTTGCGCAGCCACACTTTAACCTAGAACAGCTAGCAGAAAATGCCCATGCACTCACTGGCTATCCTATCGGCGAGGGCCTGGATGCTTTTCATCCTCACCCTTCCAAGAATCAACGTCGTCAAATACCCAACTCCAACTCCGAACAAAACCCCAGTCACGCCCCATCCCACAACTTACCGCGACCCTCTGCACAACCCATCACCATGGACTACCAAAACCGAGCCGGGTCCAAATTCGGCGGCGGCGGCGTAGCCTCCCACAGCGCCACCAACGCCGACCGGCGGGAGCGGCTCCGCAAGCTCGCGCTCGAGCACATCGACCTGGACAAAGATCCCTACTTCTTCCGCAACCACGTCGGCTCCTTCGAGTGCCGTCTCTGCCTGACGGTCCACCAGAACGACGGCTCCTACCTCGCCCACACCCAGGGCCGCAAGCACCAGACCAACCTCGCCCGCCGGGCCGCCCGCGAGCAGAAGGAGGGCAAGGCCAACATCGACCCGCAGACGGGCCTGCCCGTGGGCGTTATGGGCGCCGGCTTCGGGGCGCTGGGCCTGGGAGCCGGGGGGCAGCGCCGCAACGTGGTCAAGATCGGGCGGCCGGGCTACAAGATCACCAAGGTGCGCGACCCCGTGACGCGGCAGCAGGGCCTGCTGTTCCAGCTGCAGTTCCCCGACGCGGCGCCCGACGTCGCGCCCAAGTGGCAGGTTGTCAGCGCCTTCACGCAGCGCGTCGAGGACCCCGACCGCAACTTCCAGTATCTCCTCGTCGCCGCCGAGCCCTACGAGACCTGCGCCTTCAAGATCCCCGCCCGCGAGCTCGACAAGCGCGAGGACAGGCAGTTTGACTTTTGGGACCCCGACGCCAGGGAGTACTGGATCCAGGTCATGTTCATGACTGAGCGGGAGGAGAGGTTCAACGCTGCGCCTGGCCTGACGGGCCGGAGATGAGAGCGCTAGGGAGGGGGAGAGAGAGAGAGGAGAGAATGATTGGAGCTAGTGCTTATGGGAGGATGGAGAGAACAAAGAGGGCTAGACGGCTCTCGGCCATCATGGTATGGAGTTCGGGTCATGGTTTCCATGGCACCGTCCACACGGATGCTCCTTGTCCACTGGATTGCCGTTGAGGACGCGTACCTTCCACGTGGAAACATTGTATTTATATCGACTTGCTAGGGGTGTTGGGCGTCAGACCTGAACTGCGGACCGTTTGCGACCATAGAACGGCAACAAGGGAGGCTTATGGTGTTTTATGTAAGGCTATCTTCGGCTTGCACTACTCGTCTTTGGCTGACCAAGCACAGAGCCAGCCTGCCTAGGGAAAAGACTGTAACGAAGGACTAGCAGTATGACATCTGAGAATGCTATTCTAACGCTTGTTTGCCCCTTGATTTAACAGTATTTGCTAGAAGCAGCACATGATATTGGCTCGTCTTATGCAAGCCCACAGAGGTCTCCCTCCCAACATGACTTCAAAACAGGTCTAGACGCACGCTTAACAACTGTCGATGCTTTCATAGCAGACTCTCGTCTAGTGACAAGGAAAAACGACAACGCTACCCCGACAGGGACCTGCGAGTTATCCTTCAGATTTGTTCATCCTCACATATCCACAAACGCAACCATGCCCCCGGAAACTTGATTCGTGCCTGCCTAAAGGCCGTCCGTGTTGGGGGAAAAGGGCCTTTTTATACCACACAACTTCACCGTCAGCCCGCCCGCCACTTTAGGCGTTTCCTTGCGTGAGCTTCTCCCAATATGCAGAACGTTCCATCTGTATTATGCGCGCGAGAAAAATGTAGGAAAAGAGAGTAACGAGGAATCGAGCTATGCACGGCAACTTTTCATGCCGCAGGCCGCAAGCAAAGACAGATGATGCAGAGAAAATAATAACCCTTAAATATGTTCGGGTACGCACGCCCCAATGTTTGGAGGCCCGCAGCATCTCAAGAGAGATACATCACCGGAAGTTGTTATCGAACCGCTTGAATGTGTATCCAATGAAGGGCAGGCTCATCTCGGGGCTCTCCTCCTGCTGGGGCGCGTTGGCGACAGAGGCACTGCGAGCGGCCTGAGCGGCCTTGAGCAAGGTGGCGTTGTCTGTCTGGTCGATCTCGTCAGTGGGGAAGTAGGTCGTGTCGATGTTCGATGTCAGGCGCGGTTCGAAGGGAGCGCGGATCCTGCGCAAGCTATCGAACTCGACGCCCCTAAAGAAGGTATGGCTCTTGATCTCGTGAGCTCCGCCTCGTCCAAGACGGTTCTCCGAATTGCAAATGAGACTGGGCAAGGTACTTGTCAGCCTGGGTTGCAGTGGAGTGAGGATTCGCGCCAGAACTACAGCATACCTTCGAATCAGGTTCTCGGCTTCCACGCCAAGCTGAATATCGTCGGGGAAATAGAGAGACTGGCGCCAGTTCACAATCTTGCGATACGTGTCGTGGCTATCTTCGGCACAGAATGGAGGCCAGCCGACCAGGCACTCAAACATGATGGTGCCTAGAGACCACCAATCACAGTCAAATGAGTAGCCGTGCCCAGTGAAGATTTCGGGCGCGATATAGTCGGGGGTACCGACAGTCGAATAGGCCATCAACCTCCGCGATCTTCGCCAGTCGTTAATAACGGCTCGGTTACTGACGGTAAGGTTAATCTGATCAAGCGCAATCGAGTTCCTGTCTCCCCTCGGCTTTGTCGATTTGCCCTGGAGCAGTTGTTGGTAGTAGTTGTTGTCATGCAGTTTGTGGAAGCCCGTGGACAAGCCGAAATCTGTGAGCTTGACGTGGCCACCCCGATCAAGAAGGATGTTGTCGGGCTTGATATCGCTGTAAAACCAGTCAGGCTTCTCTTCTTGCGACAATTGTTAAAAGGGTGTTGGGGATGCATCTTCTAAGCCTTACCGATGGATGAAGCCAAGCTTGTGAACAGCCTCAATGGCCAGCACGATCTCGGCAATATAGAAGCGTGTGATGTCCTCTGAGAAGATCTCGTACTTGATGAGCATAGTCATCAAGTCTCCCCCAGGCAAGAACTCCATCAGCATGTATAAGAAGTTTGCATCCTGGAAGGTGGTGAAGAGCTTCACAACCCAGGGGCTGTCGGATTCGGCCAGAATGTCTCGCTCCGCTCGCACGTGTGCCAACTGGTCCTTCTTGAACATTTCAGTCTTGATGAGGGATTTCATGGCGTAGACCTTGCCGTCGGCCTTCTTTTGCACCAGTTTGACCTCGCCAAAAGCTCCCTTTCCAATGATCTTGACTGTGCTGTAGTTTTCGGGCTTATCCTTAGTTCGCAAGAAACGTAGATAGGAACCCTCCTTCCTGCCTCCCGTCGACCAAATCGATTCGCGCCGGCGGGGGTCCTGAGTCTCGGAGAGCTTGAGCTCCATTTCGCTCTGCCTAAGCGGAGGGGAGGTAGGTTAGCAAGAGGTCTGACTGTCGTGGTGAAACGGTGACCCTCGCAAAGGCAGGTTCGGCCTGCTTCTCGTAGTCGTGAAATGCTCAGACATGGAAGAACGAACTCACCTCTGGTTCCGTTCCCTGGCTCGCTTGACACTGTCCTTAAAGAAGTCGGCGGCCAACTGAGAGCACTTCTTCTGGTTGTTATTCGCATTGGGTCCGTACTTGTCGGGGTTGCGTTCTGGCGCGGGTTGGAACTCTAGCTGGGGAGCTTGGGTGGGAAGGGGCGCGTTCAAGTAGCCGCCATATCCTGCCTGTTGTCCAGCTGCACCAGCTGTACGGGGTCTCGGGGCAGACGGCGGGCCTCTTACCCCATATGGCGAAGCCCTGGCAGCGCCACCCAAATTCTGGTGGGAGAACTGGTGAGCCAAGCCTGTGTTGGGGTCATTGCTGGTACCGGGAGCGGTAGACCGCGCCTGTGCATAGTTCGTGTTTTGGTTGACAGAAGCGTAATCCGAAGTATGGGAGCCGAGTTGAGCAGCAGCGTACTGGGAAGGGTATTGGTTTTGCTGGAAGTAGCCGGGATGCGCAAAGCCGGACGTGTATGGCTGGCTCTGCTGTGCAGACTGGGAGCTGCTAGGCGGAATCTGCGACTGGCCCGGAGCGGCCCCGGCTGAGAAGACGGGCTGGGGAAACGTTGAAGGCGTGGTCGGGTAGGTCCGATCAGAAGGAGCAAGCCGTTCGTTATTATTCCCGAAGTTCAGGTAGAGGCGGTTTCCGGTGTTGTCCATTATTGCGAGTCGCGTGGTGGCGGTGCAATTGGTCGGTGAAGCCCACGCACCAGCAGCTAACTACCTAGAGGAAGAGGACGGCGTGGGGAGGAACAGCCGAGGCGGGCCAACAGCGAAGGATGCTGTCGCGGCAGGCTGGAGTAGAGATATGTTGACGTTTTGTTTTTTTTTTTGTTTTTGCAGTCTATTTTTTCCCGTTCCTTATTCCCTCCCAGGTCGAAAGGTTGGTGGCAGCAGCAGCAGTTGGAACGACACAGGATCACCGCTTTAAGTCGGTCAGGTGGGGCCTCTTGCGATGGATGGTTGGATGTAATGAGGAGAAATGAGGAAAGCCGAGGGTCGAGGCAGGTTCGACTGGTGATGTGATAGCAAGGTGAAGAGCAGGGAAAGACGCCCGAGCCACGGAAATATTGTCGAGGCTGGTACGGAGGTCGTGCTCGGGACTCAGGTAGGTGCTCAGGTAGCAGGAGGGGTGAAGTTGTTAAGGGGGGGAAATTCCATGCTTAGCCTAACCCTGAAGGGGCGAGCAGGCCCCTGAAGATGAAGAGTGTGGGGAGCGCCGCCGTTTCGAAGCTCTTGGACTCGGGGCTGCGAGTGGGGTGCTGTGTTGGCAGTTGACAAGTGTTTAGCGCTCTGACACCTGTCAGTCAACGGCTCAACGCTGTGCTTCGGAGACAGCAAACTGGCAGCAGCTCAGATTGGCTGGTTATTGGTTTCCCCGAGGTGTTTCCATCTTTCCATTGGACACTTGGGTGTGCTGTTTCCACACTGCTGTAGTTAGTTGTATGTACATGGTGTTAGTGTTTGGCCCTCGATCTTCCAAGCATACGCCCTCACAAACATTGATGACCCGGAACGACCCAGTTCCACCTGCAATAACAGGCCCGATATTCCCACATCCATCTGCAGGGCACATCTGCACAAGACAGGCTAAAACGCCCGTTGCCGTCATCCCAAGTGGCGGCCGTCATTACCGTTGCCAATATATCAGGCTGTTGCCCACTTATAGGTACCAAAGGACAGTCGAACTACCTGTTGATGAGACTGACACTCACTACTCATTACATTCCCCCCTCAGGGTCCAAAGAACCTTTTCTATACCAGCTTGGCCGGTTAGTAAGTACCTATGTATCTACCTACCAGACGGGAGATCAGTTGCAAAAAGGAAGAGACCTGAGCAGTCTGCGTTTGCAAAAGGGCCCGTGCGCAATTCTTATCACGATAAGCACAAGCAAGGCTAGGATTCTAGAAATTTAGAGCCGAACAATTCTGTAAATTTAGACGAAGGGGTCTCCCAGAAAGAAGCTGCCACACTTGCCGCCGCTTCTCATTCCAGGATGGCAGACTCAAAGCCTCCAACCACCTCGGAGCCGGTATGTCCCATTGATCTTGGCCTTTTGGTTCCCGACACCCACTGACTCCCTCTCTCACAGCTTCCGGCTTCCGGCGGTGGTCCCAAACTTCCTCCCAAGGTGCCCGTTCGTAACCCAGCCTTGCGCATGCTCGGCATTCCCGTCTTGCCTCGCAAACTCCCTTCCCGAAACTGGATGATATTCTGGACTGTATCGACCGCCATCTCCGCTGCGATCATCTACGACAAACGCGAGACGAAGCGCGCGACGGCAAGATGGGCACATGCCGTCGAGCACCTGGGCAAGGAGCCCATAACCAACCCCTGCGCGATGCCGCGGAAGCTGACCATCTTCCTGTCAAGTCCGCCCGGCGACGGCTTGCGCATAGCCCAGGACCACTTCACTGAGTATGTCAAGCCGGTTCTGGCTGCGAGCGGGCTGGACTGGGAGTTTGTCCAGGGGCGTAGGGAAGGAGACGTGCGGGCTGTGGTAGCCGAGCGGCTTCGAAAGGTTCGCAGGGGTTGGGAGCATGACCTAAATGGCGCCTCAGAGGAGGGTGCTCGCCCGGCGGATGATGTCGTTGAGGTCATTCGCAGAAAGAACGACACTCCACAATACGAGGGCGTCCGTGGCGATATTGTCATCGGCCGGCATACGTGGAAGGAATACGTCCGCGGCACACACGAGGGCTGGCTAGGACCTCTCACCCCCCCGCCCGAGCCGGAGACGCCTCCTGCCACTCCTGCCTCAGACGCCGCAAATTCTTCTCCCACCGAGGAGAATAAGCCCGAAGTCGAAGAGGAGGAGGCACCCAAGCCGAAAATCCCCCCGCAACCGAAGCCCTATAACACGCCCGACGACTATCCCGCCTCGGCCCTCCCGCTCCTCATCCCCGCCGAGCTCACCCCCTCGGCCCTGATCCGGCAGCCCCACATCCTCGGCTTCCTCAACACGCCGACCCGCATGCGCCGCTACTTCAACCGCCGCGCCCTGGCCGACGATGTCGGCCGCGAGGTCGCCGCCGCCTGCCTGGCCGCCTACCGCGACTTCCGCGAGCTCCCCGACGCCGCCGCCGACGGCGCGCAGTGGGAGCAGCAGCAGGCCCTCGACTGGGAGGAGCGGGACTGGATCAAGTCCGTGTGGAAGGAGGAGGAGGGCGAGCAGGCCGACGCGAAGGAGCCCGCGCCGGAGAAGATCTGGACGCGGCCCGTCGTCATGGACTCTCGCATCGGCATGCGCATGCGGCGGTTCGAGTTGCGGCCCGAGGAGGAGGTTCGCGTGAGAGCGATCGTGGTGCCCGAGGAGGAGGTGGAGGGATGGATCAAGGGCAATCTGAGAGAGCTGTATCGCTGGGGGGCGAAGAAGCTCGCCAGAGACCAGAGGAAGATCCTGGTAGATGAAGATGCGGACTAAGCCCCTGGGATCGGGCTATTCCGAATCCCCTTTGGATTTGTATGGCGAAGCAATTTCTTTGGCTCTCATCGTGCGGTACTTACATATCGCGAACGCGGGAGGCCTCTTGTAGAGTATATGTTCTGTACATTTAAGTTGCAATTTAGGGCAGCATATAGGCTTCTTCTGTGCCGGAAGACGGTGGACTCTAGACCAACCAGCAAAGGATACAGCGGGTGCGAGGATGGGATTTCACCAGCTCTGTCAGGGTAATAATACAACTCCTCTTTCACAGGACTCTCGCTCACGCTCACCCTGCCACTCTGCAACTTGGAGATCATCAACCTCGTATCGTCCCCTGCTGTATGTGGTGTGGTGAAGTCTGTGTAGAAGGTGGCCATGTCTGGGCACCTTGGGAAGATGTCGGGTCGGCGGCCGGGGGACGAAGGGAGAAGTCTTCATGGTGAAGGATAGCTCCACGCGAGGTGCCATTCATCCAGCCACCCCCTCTTCACACCACAACGGGTGTATTGGCTCGATTGGTCAATGTCACGGCTGCGGGCCGGCCTAAACAAGGTCATGGCAGGCATGATCCCGCAGACTTGTCAACGAATATGGTCTGAGCAAGATCAATCGTCCTCATCCTCATCCTCGTCGGAATCGGAACCGTAGTCCACCAGCCCCAACTTCGGTTTACCCACAGCAGCGGCAGGAGCGGGCGACGTCTTGGGCCCACCTACTGCCCCCTTCGCTTGCACCTCAACAGAGGCTTTCCGCCCAGGCTCAGAGGCACCCGATGTCCGCCTCGCAGGCGCCGGCTCCTTCCCGGTGTCTGCGCCATCCCCATCCCCCTTCCCCTTCCCCTGCGGATCCCGACTAACTCTCCTCTTGACCACCCCCCTCAGCCCAGTCCTCCCACCATCCCTCTTCCGCTTCCTCCCACCCGCCCCTCCACCACTCCACCCCACAGCCCCGTCCTCCTCCCCGTCCTCCTCCCCACCGCCGACCGCGCTCTCCCCGGCCCCCTCCCCAGTCTCAGCACCGCCAGCACCAGCACCCCTCTGCGCCTCCCTGAAAGCCCTCAGCCCCTCCTCCGTCTCCCGCCTCAGCCTCTCCTCGTCGGCCCGCTGCCTCTCCCGCACGCCGTCCAGGAAATCCGCCTCGTCGTCGTCGAGCGCCCGGAACTGGTTCTTGATCCGGTTTGCCTCCTCGAAGGCTGCCTGCTTGGCGGCTGTTTTTTTTCGTACCCCCGTTGGAGGTCAAGCCCCCCCAACCCCAAGTCCGTTAGAGAGAGGTTCCTGAAGTGAAAGGGGGATCGGGTGTTGGAAGAGAGGGAGAGAAAGAGAGATAACCCCAGCCAAAAATCAAAGAAGGGGGGGGGGGGAGATGATCTCGTCAAAACAAACCTTTATTCGCCTGCAACACATCGTACAGGGTCTTCTCGCCGCCCCCCGCCGCCTCGGCCGCCGCGCCGGCCCTCCGCTCTTCGCGGCGCCGCCTGTCGGCCTCGAGCTCTTTTTGCACGGCGAGCCACTCGTCCGCCATGGCCCCGTCGGTGGCGGCGGTGGTGGTAGTGTTAGTGGCAGCGGTGGTGGCGCTGGTCGCTAATAGTAGTGGCGGTGGTGGTGGTGCCGTCGTCACGGCGGCGGCCTCGCCGGTGGCCGGGTCGATTGCGCCGGCCGAGACGAAGCGGGAGGCCATTGTGGGTGGTGGGCAGGGCAGGTTTGTTTTGCGTCTGGGTCCGGGGGAAAAGGTTAAGAAGTTTGTGGCTAGGCAGTACTGTGTAGACAGGGACCGGGTTCGGTTAAGTCTCTTCGCAATGGGCTGCTCGTTTCGGTGAGATGTTGAACCGCAAGGCTGACAAAACAAAATATAGAAAAGATACGGGCTAAACGGGATTAGCCAATCGCAGGAAGGAGGGGCATACAAGTATTATGCAGCCTTGTGAGTGTAGACGACCAACACACGCGAGCAAGTATTGAAGTCTTGTTTCAAATTTCACAATGTAGAAGACAGCGTGCAGCAGAAAATGACCATAATTAATAGTGTTTAGTTTTCTATTTGATTTGATTTTGGTTTTGTTTGGTCGTTTTCCTCCCTTTGCCACCGAATCTATGCCAATTGTCTGCAGACAAGGTTGACTCTCTCAAGTCTGAAAGCCAACGCAACTGGCATCTTGCCCCTGGATATGATGGGATGTACTCGAAGTCTCCGCCAAACACCACCAATGCGTGCCAAGACAGGCATGCAACACCCAATTTCTAGCTGGCATGTCCCAGGTTGGCGCATGCGTGCGTGGCGTTGGCACAAGACGAGCTCATGACGTCGATCTGCCACATCGCTATCCATTCTCTCCTTCTGATTGCTCCGTTGCCGTTGCCAACCAAGGTATCCTTCCTATGAGTTCGCCATTCTTCGTGATTCGTCATGAGGATGGAGTCGGTAAGAAGAATAATAATTCCAACCCTTCTCGATGCTGCCGGCCCAAGCATTAAAACTGCCAAAAAAGGTATAAGGGAATATCCATGAACCACCCAATCTACTATGAATGCCGATAACCCATAAACGATAAAAAGAAAAACGTGAAAAGGAGGAAAAGGCCTCTAACCTAGCCTAGTTGATGCATAAAACGTAAAAGGTAGGAAGGCAAGGCTGGCTCCGTCAAGGGTTGGCCCCATCACGTCGGTGACCATGAGCCCGATTGAGGGCGAGAGGTGATGCAGCCGCTACTTGCGAGCCACCAGCCAGGCCAGGGGGAATAGAAAATGAGAGCAAGGAGACAAGCCGTCCGAAAGAAAGACAGCGCCAATCTGTTTGACAACCCCAAGAAAACAAAACCAAACCCGGCCATACACTTTTAAGCCTATTCTGAAGTCCAAAATGATGAAAAGCGCCCCTAGAAGCCCCAAAGATCCAATAAAATGTACCGGTTCCCTCATACTTTTCCCCATTAAAGAAAACCCTCGCAAATGATCCCCCTTTTTGTGGAAATAGGGGCCCGGAGCCAAGCGATGACCATGCAAACGCCATGCTTCATACCAGAAGCCAGCAGGCCAACAGAGACACGCCAAGGACTGTGTCTGGAACAAGCGAAAGTCGACAGTCGTGGAAAGAAAAGCAATTACAAGAAAATAAGCCGTCAATGTCATCGGAGACAAATTGAATAGAGCAAAGGCGCTCGGCCCGACGTTGTGGAACACTTCAGCCTGTGCTGCTTCTTCGTTTTTTGAAAGGCCACTCCGGGTAATACCCAAGTCTATCAGGTCCGTGACGTGAAGCGGCGAAAAAAAAAAAAAAAAGGAAGAAAAAAGAAAGGAAGAAAAAGACCGAGGGCTGGTTGGCAGATGAAGGTCGTAGCGGCAGACCGTGTTGTATCGTCGTGATTGCCCACTGCCACAGGACCAAGCCGCAGGACCAGGTCGATCGAGGTGCGCGTAGATGGAAAGCCACATCTATGACGTTGCGCGAATGATCCACGGCAAAGTGCCGTAGTAATTTTGGAAATAAGGGAAATAACGCCGTTGAATGAAGTAATTGCCGAACCGTATAACCGGTGAAAGATGCAGAAGAAAAATCGCCGTCGCGACTGACAGCCTCGAGGTTTGGCTTGTTTGGCATCATCAGGAAGTCGTATCCAGTTAGGAATTGGACTCTCGTCTAATCTCGAAAGAGGAGCGCCGGCGGTGGAGATGCGAATCAAGTCGCCTGGCATCGTCGTGTGAAACACCGAGGCTGTCTCAGTGTCCACCCATTGGGTATCTGAATGCAATGTGTATCGTACTCCTGGTATGCCTGAAAAGAAAAGAGTGCTGTATCCGATGACAAAATGCAATGGCAAACTCAGGAACATCAGCCGAGTTGTAGCCGTTGCCAAGGGGCGGATGGTTTCCAACAAGGACTGAACTGGCCAAGCCAGCCCGATTGCGGCAGTGTGCCTTAGCCCACGACTGGTTGGTCATAACCATGAGCCATCATGTACGGGTGCTGTTTATGATGAACGGGACCGACACAGTTCGCGCAATTGCAATCGGCCACGCTTGGCGGCTCCCAAATATTCTGGCTGTAGTTGTAGTACGCCGGATAGTTGGAATGGTTGCGAGCGGCAGGGCCCGAAGCGTGGAAGTGGTTGAAGCCGGTCGGCTGCTGGAACTGGCGAGCGCCGTTGGCATTGTGCGCAATCGCTCTATCGAAGTACTCGTTGTACTGCGAGTTGACCGACGTAGCAGAATTGACATACTCGGGGGTGCCGTAGCCCGAGTCGGGAGGTGTGAGGGGCGCGTGCCACGGAACGGGATACATCCACGACGGCTGCTCGCGTCGGTAGGCGGGCTGCTGGTGCTGATTCCGCTTCATGCTCGACAGGCGCTCGTACTCGGCCACCTGTTGCTGATGCCATGTGGAATAAGTGTGCTGGTTTCGGGGTCGGGCTGCCTCGGTCTCGGTAGGGGAGATGAGTGACGCGATACGCTCGCGGCTGACCTGCACCTGTTGCCGCTTCTTGTTGTCGATCCACTCCTGCCAGTTCTTCAACCACGCGTTGTAGTCCTTGCTCTCGTCCAGATTGACATACAGACACCAGTTGGTGGCACCGAGCCACTCGTATTCCAGAGTGTTCAGCTCTTGCACTGGGATGCCGCTAACCTCAGACCATGACTTGTTCTGGAACGTATTGTCGTCGAGGAATTTGCTTCCAAGCAGGAGCGCGACGGTCAGCATGCGCCAGATCTGGCCTTCGGTGTGGTTGGTATGTCCAGCAGCCGACATCATGTTGACCCTCTTAGCCAGGTAGTTCATTCCAAGTAAAATGGTGGTACTGGGAAGACGAGTCGACGTCAAGATCTGTGCGACGAACTTGCGAAACGCAGCGTTCACCGTAGCTCGTGGCATAACGATCCGGGTAGCCATCTCGGAAACATAGTCTGCCATCAGCTCGACCTCGTAGTCGAGGACTTGACAGACACCACCCGGCATTTTGTCGGATTGGAGATGACGAGGAGGTGCTGGAAAGAATTAGGGTGGGGAGGGCGATCTGCTTCGAGCAACTGGAAATCTGGCACAGCAGCTTGGGCGCGGCCGCAGCTTGCTGGCGAGTGCTCCCAGAGCCGACCAGTCGTGGGTACCTCGAGAGGCAAAAGGGGGGAGGTCGGGTGTCACTCGGATTATTGAGCCATAAGACTAATGCTGCCGGCTTGAGGATAGATAAGTTGCCTTGGCGCCGTTTTGACCGAGGTCAAGGTGTTCGGCCGCGCTCTCGAGGGGAGAAGGCTCGATCTTCGGATCGTGCGAGTCGATTCGGATCAAGTCCCCGTTTCAGGTGATGTTGAAATGTGAGTCGGCCGACCTGCGCCAGTAGACACAACACGATTCAAGGACGAAGGTAACAATTAGGAAGAGGGCTGTTTGGGCACTGCTGAGGAGCACTGTCAGCAAAAGCGAGATCTGGAAGTTAAAACTATGTCTGTGTTTTATCTTCGGCAATGAGGTTCTAGGAGACGCCTTGGGCGACTTAGGGCCTTTGGAACCGTGGGCAGCCTGGTGAAGGCAGGATGACGAACCTGTTGGAATAATTGATGTGTAGTCCGAGTTGGCGTTGAGGAATATTGTGTTACTCGGCCGAGGGAGTACACAGGCGAAATGCACAGGGGGCAGGGGGCTGGAGACTCGCGGCAATGAATGAGACGATTCAAGGGCTTTTTTTTGTTGTTTTTCCCCCTTCGTTTTCTTCCCCGTGGCGTACTCGTGTTCGAGAGGGAAAGTGGGCAGCACCAGAATCCGAGCTGACGTGGACGACACAAAAGTGAATTTGGCCGCTGTCGGTTGTCGAGAGTTGGCGGATTCGGTGGTTGAGGAAGGAAGGAAGGAAGGAGAGGGAGAGAGGTCGTCCGAAGAGTTTCCCGGTGGAAGTGAGATGAGACGGAGAAACAGGATTGCTGTATCCATAGGGAAGGGCTTGGTTGCAGTGGCTTGCCCGATACTTTCCTAGTACGCTAGGTACCTCGTCCTTGGGACTGAGGTCACAGGCCGGGCCAGGCGGCAAAAAAAAAAAAAAAGATTACACATGCCTGAGGCGCAGGCATCCTAACAGGTACCTACCCAATCAGGCAATGTAAGGTACACTAGTGACAGAGTACGGATACTGTACCTGCGGTTTACGATGGTCTGCCATTCACAGTATCGAACAAGCAGGCCAAACGGTCCAAGACTCCAAAGGCGCCGCCACTTACTTAGTACATGGCCCCTTTTTTTGGAGTTAGCTTGCCTCCAAATTTTTTCAAGAAGTTGTGCGTGTACGCATAAGTTTCTTTTCCAAGAATCCCTACCACACAGTAGTGACTTTCAGGTTTATCCTGGTTGGCTCGTCGAATGCGCAGAGGTGGGCGGACAGGCTTAGCTTGAGGAGTCGTGAAGACTGGAACAAATAATTCCTGGCCCTGACGGGTTAGGGGGATGGGGATGGTCTGAATGTGCATCCACCATTGCAGAAAAAGATACCGAAGTACTTGGTTCCAGCGGGGGAGTTGAGGTAGAACCCGAATTCCCAATAACCCCGACTCGAAGGAAGTACTTCGTGAATAATTGGGCCCGTGTCATTTGATCTTGAAGGAATTAAAAATCAGGATGGGGTATATAATTCGCGCAGCGACTGTACGTACAGAGGGGCCACAGGCTTCCCGTCTTGCTACCAAAGCAACGAAGTGTGCGTCGGACCCCATAGTGACTGATGAGGCGTTTGGACAGTAGGTAGAGTTACATCGCCCTGGGAAACCTGATTTGGTGGCTTGGGTGGAGGTCTCGAAGAGGACTCGAGGTAGGTAGGGAAGGCTTGACCCACAGTCCCCAAATTTCCGGGCAGGCGTCACCCCGGCGGGACGATGTATCTCTTGTGCCTGTCTCAGGAGCGCGGGTACCTCAATATCGAACCTCTCCACCCCTTGGCAAGTTCCAATGGATGTTAATAGGGGCAGAAATTCCACCTGTGTTTGTCAGCCGCGAACATCAATCTCCAGAACGGATCAAGATTGCCGCAGTACTGAGGCACGAAAGCACCGGCTAGAATCCAATATGTCCATGCCTAAAAAGCGACACGCGGACACTGTTCAGCATCGAAGCCCGTGTGCGAATTGTAAGAGCTTAAGGTGCCTAAACTGGTAAATAAACTGTCCACACCCGAGGAAACCACTAGCCAGATACCTAGTGTACTGTGGATGCGCCCGCAATACCCTGGCCATTGCCGGGATCAGCTCTCGCGAAGTGTTGAGGGCCTATCTGCACGCACCGACCAAGAGGACCCTTGGGGAAAGCCTAACCGCCACCCGGGGCCTCCTGGAAGTCGATGGCGAAACAATAAATGCTTCTTGAAGGCAGTTCTCCTACAACGAACGAAACGGCTTAACCTGTTCTTTTCTGCCTTCCGGCCAATCTCGAGGACGAGCCGCCGAGAGGGTCAGAAGTAACCACTGCCAATACGTTGCATTTGTTTTCATTACAGCTCGGCCGTCAGCAATCAACGAGGCTGCGGAGATGGTCAACGAGTCTGCAAGCTTATACTATGAATAGTTATTGAAGACGCCAGTGCAAATTAGGTAAAAGGCGGAGAGGGCAGCCAGCCAACTAGCATTACTAAGGTTATACACTATAAAAACATTAAAATGCGTCCTTCGCGTGGCTCAAAATCGTCCAAGAACCCCAAGAACAATTTTGCCTTCTCGCCTTCTCCAATGGTTCGCTAGTGTCATTTGCCGAGCTTGTCCGGGCTCAACGAGAAATTCCGGGCGCGCTAACAATTTTCGATTTTTCTAGGGAAATTTTGCGTGCAAAAAAAAATCGTCCAGAAGTCGACGGGATCGGATGCAGGACCCCCTCTTCTTCTGAAGCCCAAACATGCACAGGGATGGAGGCGGTGGAGGAGAGGGACGGTAATCACGGGATTGACTGGTGATGAAGCCTGTGGACTGGTTCCTCACCCTCACCGCATGATTGAGAACTGGCCTGGAAAGACCCACCGATTGCCGATGGCATTTGATAGGCCAAAATTCCAAATACCCTGCACCTCCACATGCTGCGAATTACGGCGGGTCGTTTACTACCTAGGTATGTATCGCCTCTCTCTTTTTGCCAACCGAGCATCGGGCTTCTTGGAAGTTGCAGCCTACGTTACTGCTCATGTCGACAATTACCTAAATCCGTCTTGACTCCGCCGGCACCTTTCCATACGTACCTTGACTTTGCAGCATTTGCGTCTTGATCCTCCTAACAATGTAATGAATGAATGACCTTTTCCCGTCCTGGTATTTTTTCCCCAGGATTGGCATGAGTCACCACCTGTGGCTTGCCACCGCTCCTCACAGGCCCAGAGAGATTCAGCCGTTGTGAAGTTGTGGTCATGCCTTGGCGGCTGACGTTTTGCTCAGCAACCCACTGAGACATGACATGTCCCCCACACTCCAGTCAGACGCCATCATTCATCATTGCGATCCTCCTCCATTCCCCGTGCTTCCCCTTGCCTGCCTGGTCTGTGACATCAGCGTTGACGTTCACATTGGACCATAACGGACAATCTGCCTCGCGACCCTCGCCCCCCAGGCAGTGCCCGGACAGTCATGCACCGAGCAATCTACACTACATCCAACATAACGTAGTGGTGTAGTGATGATGAATGGTGACCACCAACAGTGCACCCCAAGCAAGTCCGCGTCTACCCGTTTGACCGCTAGCCGAATGGGCCATGGGCTGTGCCTATTAAACCAGGTAGGTGCTGTATCCGTACAGTACTCATACTGGATAAGTAGTACGTCTCGGCGTTTGAACAGCGGTGTGCCTGTGAATCGGCAGACACTACGTACGACTTGGGGGAGGCTTGCGTACATGGAGTGCTTGGTCAACGTCACGTTGTCCCCTCGGCTTCCCTACCTCCTGCACAGTTACCTATTCCATAGAAGCAATGCACCCAATCGGCGCAGGCCCGTTGTCATGTGTTCTGCCCGTTGACAGCCTGCGAGGGGCGTTTTACGAGCTCCTGTTGACCAGGATCCGGATGACGAACCTCTCGAAGTGGAAGCAATTATTGAAACCCCCTCCCCGTCCCACAGTTGTTCCGCTCCACCGGCTTGCATACCTGCAGCCAGCGCGCATGGTTTGGTGGGGGAACAGAGCCCAAGCAGGAGAGGGGAAGAAGGGCATGACGGTGACCCAACGGTTCGAGTTTTTCTGGCGTTCTTTTTTTTTGTTTTTTTGTTTTTTTGTTTTCTCGAACAGAAAAAGAAAATCCCGCAACGCTTTTATTAGTCCCCATGGCTCCTCCTACCGACCTACAACGTATGCGCCTAGACTCTGCAAGACCTATGACCATCCTTTGAGGGGCCGAGAAGTAACCGCGACTCAGGTAGTCGCATGAACCTGCAAGCCCGCCAACTCGTCTGACGAAATGTTGGCCAAGCCTGGGCGACGGGGGGAGCTTTCCTTTCCTTGAATCGACTTGGTGGCACCGCACTCCAAGGACTCGCTCCAAATACTCCGACAAGGAGAAAAAATAAATGCTTGCCACCCATTGCGTCGGTGTTCACCTGAGTACCATACACAGTAGTACCAACTCCGAAGTAGGTAGGTAAGTAGATTCTGGCTGTCACCCACCACAGGTGGATGGGGGGTACCTAAACTGAGAGAAACCCTCCCACTTGATGTAGTTAGTGCTTGCAGTAGTGCTGTTCTAGAAATAAATGCCACTGATCTCCTCTTCCGGGTCCAACCCTAGGCGGAAAAGCAGGATGGGCCATCCGAAGGGTGGGGGCTGCCTTTTGAGCGTGATGGAAGCTCCCAAGTAGGCCGAGACTTACCCGGGGCCATCGGGCTCACGGCTGGGGCCAAGAGCGTTGTGGATTCGGCAATTCGTCAGAAGGGGCCCAGTATCGGAACGGCAGACCGCTGATCGGTCCCCTACTGTATCTGTAGGTTGCACGCAATGTAGAGGACCCTGCCTGACATGACGACGGCAAACTCCCCTCTACGAGTAAAGGGCCGATCCAAGGAGGGAAAATACCGCATCAATATCTTGGCCTGGGCTGCTACTGCCTCAGCACATTGGACTTTGGTTCGTTCCTTCGCCGTTTGCCTTTCGAGGCAAGCGTCCTCTCTCTCTCTCTCGCTGCGACACCTGTCCTGATGTCTTGAGGCATTATCCCCTTGCCGACCCACAATGTACACGTGCACATGTAATCCCCAACCAGTCAGTCCGGAGGAGATGGTGGTGGTATGCGTGGTATGCAATTGGACGTCACAAGCGGGCCGATGGAGAACACTGCATTCCCCGTGCCGCTGTCCTGTACGCTGTATGCCCAGTCTGTGGGAAACATACCTTTCAAGTACATATGGCAGGCATCTCGTCGTATCTACTACCCCGTGCCCGGTACGGCCGACCCACCCGAGGTCGGACCGGACAAGTCGATCGGCAGCTTGGTTTCGGCCATGGGTAATCTCGCTGCAGGCTGCGAAAACCCAAAGGCCATGCATGACGAAAGGAAACTGCCACGACGTGTCCTCATCGCTTCCAGCCCTTCTTCGTAGTCAAGTCTCGGGTGAGATTCTCAACTCACCTCTCCATCCCGTCCGTCACTTCGGTCCCGGACGGCAGACCCCATGAGCCAGCCGGGTGGTTTACACACGACAAACGGAGCGGGTATGCTATTAGCGCCACCGGGCGGTCTTGCCCGTGCGAAAGTGTAGGACCGTCATAAGTCAGTCCCATGCTTCCCGGTCACGTAATAAGGGGCAAGATGAGACATGTTCACCTATGGACATACTATACTACAACTGGAACTAATGGATTCCGTTGTCTAACCTGACCCTCCGCCATCCTCGGCCAGAGCCTGATACTCCGATGTCACTGTCTCTTGCATCACTGAAGCCAAACCAAAACCAACTCCGTAGACCGATAGCCACCATTCCGGTGGCCGAGTGTTGTTACAACAGGACGAAAAAAAGACGCTCGCATGCATTCCGAAAGACGTTAGAATGCAGGCGCTCTACACCCTAGCTTGTTGACAAAGCAGGCGATTCGAATCCTGGCGCTTATCGATGTTAACCTTCTCCCCTTAGTATTCCATCTTGACACGGTTACGCCAGAGGCATCGAGTAAGGCACGAGGGCCTTGTCAATCACCGGCTCTCGCCGACACATGGTTTCGCTCTCGTCGCCCCATTTCCCGAACCACTCGTCCTCATTCCGGGCCGCGGCGTCGAACGCCCGTCGGCAATCCTCGGGTAGCAGGTCACGTATTTCGTCGGGCACCGCACCCAGTCCGCGGAACGGCGAGAGGAAGTCTGCCCGGGTTGACCACGCCCGTTCCGCAGGAGACGTGCGGAAGGGGAGCTCGTACGCAGCGCCCGATATCCCGGCCGGTGGGGTCTCCATGTGGATGTCGGTGACGAGGAAGTTGCGGGAGATGATGGGCTTGAGAGGCGGGAAGATGGTCGGCGAGGAGGGCGGCTCGGCATCGTCCCTATTGACGACCTGTTCGATGCGGGCGTGCGTTGGTTGCATGATTCCCGGGTATAACATCATGTTGGTGTGGATATCATAGACGCCGTTGGCATTGGCGCGTCGGGCTTGCCCGAGGATACTGTTGAACTGACTGAACGAGAAGCGAGTTAGCCAACCCTCCACATACTTGCGAAGAGCGTGGAATCACGACCTACCTAGCCTCCCGGGCATGCTCTAGCTGCCAGTTCACATCATTGACTGTCACCCGGCGCTTCTTCACGTCGACCTTGGTGCTCTGCTGCGGCAGAGTAGGACCCCCTGAATGGTAGACGGCACTGGCTCCATGCCACGCCACATACTGGTTCTTGTTGTATGGCTTGTCAGGGTCGTAAAGATCGCCGGGGTCCGCGAGTTCGCCCTCCACGACTCCCTCCTCCCTCGCCTTAGCCACCTCGTAGTCGTCCGTGATCCTCCTCCCGCCGACAATGATGAGCGCGCCAAACTCCCTGAACACAGAGCGGGCCGTCACGATTCCTATCGCGCGGCCCTTGTAGCTGTGCGGTATGATTTCGCGCTCGATCATGTCGCGCTTCTCGTCATCGCCCACGATGATTTTATAGAGTCGCTTGTGTTTGGTGAAGAACAGGTACGAGTCGCGGAAGCCCACACAGCGGGCGGGTTCCGTGGAAAGCATGTACAGGCGATCACCGCGACCGGCAACAGTGAAGGTACGGCAGCGATATTCCCTGCCGCCCTGCAAGATGCCCAGCTTGTCGACCTTGGTCTCGCCCTCGGGATCCTCTGGGAGGTCCACCTCGTCGTTCACAATGTCCACCATGTTCCCGTCCTTGTCGATGGGCTGCTGCGTGGGCTGGAAATGCTGGCCCTTGCGACCGCCCCGGCCTCGCCAGCCGCCACGACCGCGCCGGCGCGGCGTAGCATCCGGATCGCGGTCTTGAGGGCGCTCGATCGGCAGGGTGTCCCAGTCTGGCGGTCGGTTCTTTGGTGGCCGGCCCAGGCGCCTGCGCCGGATGACAGGCTCTGGGGGCGGGGTGGGCGATTTTGCGGATCCTTCCTCCTCGCCTTCGACGGTCTCTTCGTTTGCCTCCTCAGCGGCTGACTCGGCGTCCTTAAGCTCGTCCTCTTCTGCCTGGTGCTCTGGCTCCTCTGCATCTTGGGCATCTGGCATGTGCTCGTCATCATCGACCCCGTCGAATGTCTTTGGTGTACTTTCTGCGGACGCGAGAGGATGCGCTGGTCAGTACGATGGGGTTTGCAGCAGGGGGGTTGAAGGGTTGGGTTAGGGGTTAGAAAACGCCAGCATTGAGAGGGCCGGGTCGGAAGGTTGTGGTAAAACTTACCTAGTGCAGCTGCGGCGCGCTTTGCAGCGGCGCGACCTGACCGACGGCCCATACTGGAACTGACAGTTACTCGTTGAATGGCGGGGGAACCTGGTGGAAGGTGACGGCAAAAACGGTGTTCAGAAATCCACGATGAGCGGCGTGTGAACAAGTCGCGTAGCGCCTCAGGCAGGACAGTGTATATTACAGTATAAATCCACCAAATAGCACTGTATGATACTGCCCTTTATCTCAACCTCGATTCTGTTATTTCAAGTTAACATTGAAGAGCTTATGGTCAATGATCACTCTTAAGTTTTTGTCCTCCTATACCACTTCATTTCACCTAGTTTCGTGGGTAGTTACCCTTTCCATCCAGTGCATATACCATAAGCCCTCAACAAGCTTCCAACACGATACATTTATTGATCCCTCCCCCCCCACCCCACCCCAAAGAGAGAAGCCCTGGTGGGCCTCCTTATGAAGGTGAGAGTTGCAGTCGTAAGTCTGCAGTTGAACTGTGATAGCACTTCGAATAGCCCGCCTCGAGAGTCGTTCTGTTGCCTCTATGACTGGCTCAGTTTCCCATCTCTGTACTATAATTTGGAAGCACTCTACTACCCAAGAGGAAGCAGAAGATGACGAGCACGAGCGGCGTGAAGTCTACCAATCTATCTCCCAAGTCTTAGTTAGCAAATAATGGAAGATCAGTGGCAGATCGACAATCGCTCTTAGTCATGCCCTCCTCTTAAGGTGGTCGGTCGGATAATCAACTTCTCAGTGGTGGAAGAGTGAGAGGGTGAACGTGACCACTAAACATCGGTACGAGACGAAAGCCCCTGAGGCTGGAATACGGCGCAAACCGAGGGCGAAATGCCGACTTTGATAGCGAGAGCAGAGTCTCGCGGCTTGAGTTACATGCTAAGCGCTGGACTTTGATCAGTTCTCTCGTGCCGTAGGCGCGTAATTGCCGACTGGGGATACAGGAGGGTTAATCATGTTGTGGAGTCATCGGCTTGAGACAGCATTTCTCGACTGTACATGTACTTAATTACAGCTGGCTGACTACAGTTACAAACTCCAGGTTTTTCCACACTCTCCACATCGCATCTCTTAGCATCGGGTCCAATCCTGTCTAGTAAAGACTTGGGCGTTCTTACAAGAAGCGCGGGCACCTCGTTGCGACTTTGATTGTGGTGGTCGACGCTCATGTTTCGGGTTCGCGCAGGACAAGGGGTGTTCATTCGTCGAGTTTATAGGCGGCCTCTAGGCATGAAGAGTAATAGGAAAAGTGAAAGTAAGTTGTCCGTAAACAATAATTGGTCACGGGCATGTTTTCTGGGCGGTTATACCGAAGTTTCTTCTGTTCTATTAGTTAATGAGGTTGCAACGAGGCGCATTTGGTGTTGGAGGTCAGCCTCGCAAATATGCCCAACCATATCGATTCCCTAATGTGCCATTTCCCCCTCCCTTTTCCCCCTCTTTACCATAGGTATGTTATATAAGATACCCTGCGATCCCCAAGCGAGCTTCATTCTCAATCATCTCGAAGATCAACAACTTGTAAATCCTCTTTACCATGCCTGCACCCATTTCCTCACCCGTCCGAGACCCTATTACACCTGAGGAGCCAGTGCCGAAGGCCCTCCTTTTCCAGCCCAAGGAGAATCAACATGGTCTTCAGAAATCTCTAGACACCATCCCATCATACCTCTTCCGACTCTACGCTCCGACTTCGGCAGGATGCACCAACTTCAACTATGTAGTCTCGTCAGCGGCGACTCGACCCAGCACCTGGTAGACCGGTCGCAATCAAGAGACAGACCTTCTTCAGTTAGCTAGAGAGATGGCTGCGGATATGCTCTGGAACCACATGAACTGGAAGGACCTGAAGGATGACAATCTGGTGTCTTGGACCACTTCTCTTATATTTGCGGTCCAACATGGGCTTCGCCGGGTAAAGATGGACCGGGGCAAACCGGACCTCTCTGATGTCCGGATCTGTATCGTCGATACCCGCGACTTCCCCCGTGGCACGTTCATAAAAGACTTGGATATCCTTGAAGCCTACTCCGACTTGCCAGACATCCGTTCTTTTCTCAGGCTTCGTCAGAGCCAATACTACTTTGGCGAATACTCTCCCAGGGGCGTCTGTAGATCGCTGGCCGGGCACAGCATGCCTCTCTGCGACTTCTACTCAGCCTGGGACTCTACGATATCGAGCCCCGGCTCCAGTTCGAGCACCACGCCCTGGCTAAACGCATCAACGATCTTCGGAACCTCTTTACAGCGCCGTGAGTCGCATACCCGCTGACCAAAGAGGACGTCAGGAAGGCGATCTCGATCGCACAGGGCTGCTTCGGGAGCAGGTTTGCCTTGGTTGTGGCCGCGATGCTGCTCTCCCTCCGTCCGCGGAAGAGCAAGGATCGCGTCATCCTCGATGCCTTCGGCGCAACATTTACAGGTCTGTAAGGTCTGGGTGTCCGAATGGAAGATTTACTAACGCGTGGAAGACGATGAAATCCGTGACCTCTCGCTTCACGACTTCAGGGTTGATGGTAAGAGGTTGCCGGAAGTCCAGCAGTTCGCCGATATCATTCGGGATATAAGCCAAGAACTTGCTCCTGCCCCTCTGGAAGGACCCGGGGAGCAGCCTGCCCGTGTAGACCGCTGTTCATATCCTGACCTGTCATCCGTTTTGCCTTCTCCCAGCTTAACTGGCGTTGACAAGGTGGTCGTCTCGCTATCTAATCTGACTGGTAAGTGCAGCCAACCCACACACAGTCAAGTAGTTTCTTGCTAACTTCAACAAGTATCGCCATGAGTGATGTAGAGGTGCTGAGGGCCCTATTTAGTCTTAATGGTAGTATCGTGATATGGCTGTTGTAGGTGTTGGGATATAATTATATGCTGGAGCTATATTCGAGACATACTGAAGAAATAATGACACTTATATGTACCTTTCGCACTCAAACTTGCTGTTTCGTCTCCCATATGTTGCAGAGGCTCTAATTACACCTGAGATGTAAAAATGAAAAAAACTCTCAGAATGTGAGGACAGCCAAGGCGCAGGCTTACGAGATCCACAACCGTTGTCTCTGAAAGATGGATAAGCGCTTGGAGGGATCTGCTAGGACAAAGCCAGGTCGAGGCAGTTTGCGACCTCTCGCCATAACCTAGATCCAAACAAACAGACTGAATACTATCCTTTCATGAGATTTCTCACCCCAGCTCTAATCGTCATTGAGTTCTGATTTAACCACGTCTTGTCCGTCATAGTTCCTGCCCTGGTCCAATATAATGTCCTATCCCGAGACATTTGTTGGACGGAATCTTCAACTTACAGGGCACATCCAAAAACGCAACTATATGCTTGTAATAGGCTGTACTGCGGGTTACCGCCACGGCCCTGGACGAAGTGATTTGATCTCATCCAGATTCCTGAACCGGAGGCGATACCTCCGCTTGCAAGCAAGCTGCAATCCCCTATAATGATGAGAGAAGGACGCCAAGCTCGGTGGCCAAGCAACACTACGCAACCCCCATTTAACTCTTGAGGAAATGTGCAGGCTCCGCGGGAGAACGCGAGAGGGACCTGAGCACCCTTCCCAAATCCCGACCGACTTCCGCATTCATTTTTGCCAAGCAAGCTTTTATGAGCTCCAAGACCCAGAGACTGATATCTCAATTACCGCTGAATTTGAGCCACAAGGGCTCACTCAATCAAAAGCTGCCCACATTCAAGTGTATTATAGTGCCCAATAATTGCGCCCAGAGCCTAGGAAAGGACGCCGAGAAAACCGGTCCAGACCTGTTAACCACTCTCGCTCGGCGCCGCCATGACCTAGACTGCAACCTCCGCACGGAGTACGGGGATGATACCAATGGTTGGCACCTCGAAACAGGCTGAATCTTTCGCGGTCGGCAATTTTCCTCTCCCGCTGGCATCATGTCATCCTGACAACCCTCCCAAAAACAGTTGGGGGGGGGGGGGGGGGGGGGGGGGGGGGGGGGGGGCGCGGGGGGGGGGGGGGGGGGGGGGGGGGGGGGGGGGGGGGGGGGGGGGGGGGCC